CAGCGTAAAAAACCAACATAAATTCAAATTAGGCATACTTATCTACCTACTACTAACAAAATGAATGCATCAGTTCTTAGTTCGCTTCGTGTACTTGTAATGTACAGATAATTAGTTGCATTTAATGAAACTCCCACTGAAATAACATTTTTTAAGCGTTGCATTCCGGTAATTTTCTGTATAGTAAAACGAATTTCTTTTAAATAAAATTGAAAAAGTCTATGTCACCCTATGTAATTATTCAATTATGCGCTCGTTTTATATTCCGCGATTGTGGGAAAATAAAAATTATCTCTATTTATGTTTACTGTTATTGTGCTAAAATCTTCGCAAAGGCGTCATAATTTTACGTAGAAAGTTCAAAGTATACGTATGTAAGTACATACATTACGAATATCGTCGTGACCCATAAAAACAATCTAGATGTGTGTGTTTATAAACACAAAAAGTATCATTGTAAATTTTATTTGAATTTAGCGAACATCAAAAATTAGTAGGTATGTTAGGGGTACTCACGATCTCGAGTATACAATGCTATTGCATCTTGGAATTAATTCAAATTGTTAAATAAGTAGTAGGATAATGTTATAAGGATTTATTATGTTATCCCCTGTGTTATAGGTATACAAAGTACGATATAGAGCCCGGTGGTACCGTTTGCTTGATATAAAAAGAACCATTGCTAAAGGGCACGTTCCAAATCGAAATCTTTGAAATAAGCAAAACCATCACCTGTCCCGTCTCTGTCCGTGATGCAGCAATACCATTCAATCGATGCACATGCCTGTTTCAATTGTTAAACTTAATACAAGTTGCGCTAGACTTTCTTCCTGCTTATAATTGAATTCAGACATCCTTGCAACCCATTTTGATTGACTTACCTTTTATCAATTTTGCACTTTTTAATAGAATTTTATTTTGAAAGTTTATTCTAATTTCCTGCCAAAAAAATCTCCTATCGCAGTCTAATTGAGTAGGAATCTTAAATTACAATTCCCAGGAATATAAAACGAATTACAGTAAATGTTATTTTATAAGTAGAAATAACCAGTATACATATTTCTAATTAAACGATTTTTGGAGGACCGGATGTTTCGAGATATTCTCAAAAATATACAGCCTGTCTTGATACCCGGTCCCGATGTTCGATTATCACTTCCGATTGATAACAACAACTTGTACAAAAATTTTCCTACAGAAAAAAATACTACCAGCGGTACACAACGTGCATGTATTATTTACAACGTATTTAAGTTTCGTCGATGCGTAAGTACGTAGTAAGATGAATGAAACGCCTCTCTATCTTATCGAAATTCGGTAAACAAATTTAATACGGCATAGACGGCGGAATGGAATTATTTACAGCAATCGTAAATGGTCGGCTTAATTCAAAATGCGCGTTAAACTTACCATTAAATATAATTCGATTAAATTTCCCGGATCCACTGTAAGATATTTGATATTAATTCATACTACTTAACTACTCCTAACAGACGCGTTGTATATACGTATAAGCTATCCATTACTGATAAGTACACGTTATTATATACTAAAATAAATTGCTGCACTATTAACGCATTAGCTTCGAGTATTTTATAATATTTGCCTTTGCCGAGAAGATACGCCATTGATTACCTACCTAAGCAACTAACTAGTTGAACGACCAGTATCAACTTCTCGGAAAGTGTCATCTTCACGGTTATCTTCAACATACTTATCAGCTTACCTCTCTCATCGCACGTCCTTCCCCCCTTTACCGATCCAGCCTTGTTTTTCCTTTTCGATTTGAATAAATATTTGAAATTGAAAACGGAAACTCGCTCGCTATACTTCGGCAGGTAAATCAAATGTTCATCGCCTATTTTTTTAGATATTTTCTTTTTTCTATGCATACCATTCGCAACAGAGAGAGGCACACATTTATATAGAGTGGCAGAAAATAAAATAGTTTTTGACCAACCCTTGTAAGTTAACCAACTTCCAAAAAAACATTTCCCTAAATCTTGTTCTTCAAACAGGCAACGATATTGCAACAGTTAACAGTGTCATGCACGGCTGCATAAAAAAAATGGTGTTCAACAAATTTGTACCTAGTTAAAACATGTTTAAAACAAATGAATTGAACAAACACGCACGCATATTTATTTAAATAACGTTTTCTTTTCTCCTGCTGTTGTGAAACTGTACCGTAAAGCTCGCTCGTGTTCCTAGATGGTGTTTACAAAGGGCATACCACATGCATTTTACGGATGTCGTAAAGACGCAATTAGATTTCCACGAGGCGTACGGGGTTACTTGAAAAATACCGGTCTCTCGTGCGTCAACGAACCGGGTAATTATTTAATCGAGTGTAAAGATTCAATTTCATATTTTTGTTGGTTGTTATCCACTACAATACGAATGTAATTTCGTTTAATACGTTTTCTTACAATTGAGTTTTGAATGGTTATATTCTTCAAATTTTTATATCGAATCATCGCTAGTTCATTTAATTAATTTCATCCCTTAAAAAATAAATAAATTGTTGACGTGTTCACCGATAAATTAATTTAAAATTTCACACGTTTCGAATAAAGGGCTCGAGTAATTGATCCGTAATAAATAAATAAAAAAAGCACTGTCTATACTTTCAACTCGTGAACGCCGTTTTCCCCATTTAAACGGTTCATTTGCTGGAAACATTTAATTACGGGTAGCCGAGTTAAGTTGAAAGATGGAAGCATATGTCATCCATCGTTGCTCGATAATTATCGGATATCGGATATGAGGTATATCAAACGCAGCGGTCGAGTATATTTTTATTTCATGCTACGCCGTGATAGTGACGAAAAATAAAAGTGTATACGAAGTAAAATAGAAGCACGTGACCGGAAACGTACCGGACCGACCATGTGCTAAGTACCGACCACACCTGGCGGATCTTCTTCATTTCTTACGCTTCTTTTTTTTTATCGAGCACGAGATGTCTACACCAAACACTAATTACGCAATTTAAAATTAATGAGATTGATTTATTGTTTAATACCTTTGGTGTACGGTATATTTTACGCGTATACAGCGCCAGTCAAAATGTTTACACCATAAACACACGGACCATCCCAGGCTTAATGTGGAAATTAGCATTTGCTAGATAATGGACAATTTAAGTATGTAGTCCTTTTTATAAATGGAAAACATATTTTAAACGGTGACAAAAAAAAACCAAGCGCGCATTAAAACGTCACGTCATACACGTATCCATAACTAGAGGCGTTTCCGCCACCTACATACATCTGTACAACTCATATTCTAAAAAAATTTCCTTTCAAAAGATGCCCTCCCGTTTACACGAAACCTACATCACAATTTTTTTCATCGACTACACATCTTGTGCAATTTACACAGGATATAAAGCAACTTTCTAAATTACCATTTATCGAATGGCATGGTTAACGAAAATCGAATCGCAGGACTCCCGTTGGACTCCTAAAGAGTCGCGTCGGTACGAATAAAAATCGAAAATAAAGATGAAGAAAGGCGCAAGCAGCAAATAAGGATGACCGTGATGTCCTGTGCGGAGGAACGGAAAAGGCGCCAGATGTGCGTCAGCTGCCGCTTCCACGGCACGAGCCACCAGCTGCCGATTTTCAGATATAGGTACCCACCATTTTTCGATGGTGGCGATGATGGTGATCGCGTTGATGATTATGATGAGTTTAATGATCTCAGACGAGATGTGTCGTCTGCGACACGTTTACGAAGAGGCTTTACGACAGAGAGATTGACTTTTGAGGGGTGAAAAAATCGAAACCAAAGGAACTAGGCAGGCAGGAGATATTCAAAAATTTAAAAAATCGAAAAAGATTTCGGTAAATGAATTTAAAGGGTAATTAGGGTGCAGCGAACGTTCTTTGCACCTTTATCATAAAATAAAGTACTGAAAAATGAACGGTTTAATTACATAGGCAATTAATTTGTTTTATGTGCAATGTCGATTATAAAACATTTCCATACAGTAGTCATATGCCCGCAGGAAAATGGTTATTCACTATATTTACAGTAGACACAGTAAACAGATGCAGGTAAATATCGTTACATTGCATCAGGAATAATTTTGTAGATGCGACCTTTCAATAACGCAAAGGGCATTAATCGTACTCTCGCCATCTATACAGTTATTCCTAATGAATACCTTTTCACCTAATTTCTATTCAACGCTTTTTCCAACCGCCCTATATGTGCACTTTCATAACTGTATCGGCGAACAGTTAAGAAAACGGGATTGAAAAAAAAAACATAAATACCATTCACCCCTCTTCGTAGGCAATTAATTTCCTTAGGAAGTATTCCCGGAGCACATTTCGTGTTAAGGTTTTTGTCGCGGTGCGGCGAGAGAAAGATAGAAAGTCGAAGGAAAAAAAAAAGTAAGAGGTGCATATATGCAAGCTGTTGAACGCTGTTTATTGGGGTTGAAATGCAGAGGTTGTGTCACACCTGTTGGTGGCAGATGTGCGTCTGGTATATTTTTGACCCCCTCCCCGAAAGGTACGTGTGTGTATTATGTGCATTTGTACCTAGGAATGCCTTTGCCCGAGTCGTGACCTGTCTGGCCGAATGTGTTCTAGCCTAGATTCGCCGCGTTGCCACGTTCGTTTCGTGGAAAAAAAAAGTATAAATAATTTTACTGTTGCGGCAAAATTCGAATCGAGAATACGCTAGACACAATAAAATGCGACAAGTAAAAAACACGGTAAATTATAAATAGTTTTGGAATGACTGGCAACGATGCGGTGGTTTCGAAGCGTCAAAATTCAGCTTTGATACCTGAGTTGAATACAATGATTTAGGGGGTAGTTTGTTCTATTCTGTATTCATAAACTTTCATTTGTATTCATATGTATTAGAATGCGTTTTTATAGAAAATTAAATAATTCACGGCGAAATAAGCCGTTAAAAATGACTATGTATAGAGTTAATAAAACCATTAATATTTATCCACCCTTAAATAATATTGCACTTACCTTTCGATTATGGTGTTGGCTTGAGCATACTTTTGTATTCGCATCAAGGGTGTCATGGAAGCATCGTCCTCTGAAAATAAACAACAAAATTAATCCTGTTAAATTACAGGATGCTTAATTTTCTAAGATGTTAAATGAGTACATCACAGAAGTTCTACTTTTTAAATCTACAATGTATGGCATTTTTAGAGGGGGGCATCACCGCATCAAGGTGTAGTGATTTATAAATATAAACAATTTTACAGTAAGTGCAATAAAAAAACTAACAGTAAAATAGCTATAATAATTCCCGTGAAAAAAAGAAAGAATATATTCCTTTTTAATTCGTTTAGTTCCAAATGAACGTACCGCACCGTTAGAGACTAATGTGAAAAAATACTATTAAGTTAAACCCGTATGCATGTCGAATCATTAATAAAAATTACAATGAACTATCGCATTTGTTGTAGCATGTCACAAACGATTAATAATTAAACACTTGAAATAAATTAAAAAAGTGCATTAGACTATGCTTTAATAATGGTATAAGATAGGACGGGTGAGTGAAATTCAATGAAAAAACGCACAAACGGAGGCGTTAAGGTGTTGTGTTCGTTTGTCCAGTTCCAATTAAGTTCACTGATATTGAGTAAGATTCAGAAAATTATGTATTTTGCGATAAATTTATAACTTAAAAAAAAAAAAAACGGATTTTCTTGGTGTTGAACTAATTGATTAACCTAGATTTATTCGGAAAATAGTAATTTTTATAATTTTTTCAATAAATTTTTTCTATTTAGAGATCTTGGAAGCATTTCATTTAATCTGTTTCAATTTTTATTACAATACATTGATTTAATTGGTTTGTAATGATACATTGATGTACCTACAGGAAGGTAAACCCTTAAGGAATTAATGTCAAAGACCCCCTTCACATTTTTATAAATTTGAATAGAAATTCATAGTATCTATAAATAACAGTTTATTATAAAAAATGGAGTAATAGGTTTTTAGCAATTTAAAATTATGGAATATATATTCAAACAATTTTTCTGGAAATTCTAATCTTGAAAGAAATAAAAAAACAAACTGCCCATTATACTAAAAATGGCGGCTAAATCGGTACTCTAAGAAATAAAAATAAAATTGCAGTAAGCATTAAACTTGAACCGGTAGGTATAAAATATCATTACAAAGTATATAAGCACCAGATTTAAGCAAACAAGTAACAAATACTTCGTTGATTTCCAGAAATTTTTTAGTTCGCCTAATTTAATAAGAATTAAAACAAGTCCTCAAACACCTAACCTACCTATTCCACCGACGACCATACCGCTCATGAACCGCCTCCAAAAAAAACTATAGCTTTTCACGAAAAATAGGAAAATCCACGGCCACGCCGGCCGCACGTGAATCGGCATCGAACACCCCGACCGCACCGACACGACCCGCGTCCTTCCCGACCGGCCGAGGAAAACCCGCCGACGTTCGCCGCGGCGCTCGTCGTCGAGACGCCTTTTCCCGTCGCTGCAGCATCTTCGCCATGTCGCGGCTCCCGGCCTTTTTTTTCCCCCATTGGAAAATCCGCCGAGCGCCGGCCGACCGAGCTAGACCGGGACGCAAAAATTCGCGTGTCCGCGTACGTCGACCCGCAGCGCCGCGACGACCCAACGGAAGACACAACACACCGGCGCGCCGGACACCCGCCTCGTTGCCGCGCTTCCTCGACAACTTTCCGCCTCGTCTTTCCTAAAATTCCGCAATTTTTACCGTGCACGATGGTCAAGTAAAACCGACTATATTAGCGATGAACTGTACTGAACAGTTCTGAGCTTTTATACCTTGTTTAAATCTGGATCGCTTTAGCTTTAAGAAGAGCTCAGATTGCTTATCTGTATCTTAATATAACCAAATATTTAAATATGTTATCACAAAACGATTAGCATCTACAGCAGAAAACAAATTAAAGCTAGAAGATCCGAATTTGTAGCCAAAATAACTGAAGAAACTCATTAAAACCGTCACAACTGGTTTAAAAAAAAAACTTTGCAATGATAGAGATATATTCCAGTCCAAAAACTGATAATTGGAGGAGCAGCTAAAGGAGAAATTTTCAGGGAAACCCGCTATTTAACGGGGTGATGCGGCAACGCCGGGGGGTACGTAGGGGTGGAGACGCGCGACGTTGCCTATATGCCCTAACAAGAGGTCGAGGGTGACGTTCGCTTGATTGGCCCCTTCTTTTCTGGGCTGTAAAAAAATAGGGGCGCACTTACTTATTGCTTTTGCTTACTGCAATCGTTTTACGAGGTCGTTAAGGGTAGTTAAGGAGCGTCGTAAAACATTCGAAAAAAATACATTCGCTCCCGTAATATGAGCGCTTTTTGAACGCGAACTCGCCCGAAATTTGCGATGATTAGCATCGTCACGATGTTCTGATTTTGGTGTTTATTGTTTAGGTAATTGGGGTAATTAGGTATTAATGTTGCAGTGCTACAGCGAAATTTACTTTGGTAGTAAAATTTGGTGATATTGACTTAATGTATTATAACAATCTAATATAGTCAACAATAATTCAAAATCCCTCATAAGATAATAAATGAAAGCACGTTTACTCTTTATGTAATCATTTTAATCTCACCCTCTATCAAAAACATTTTAATCAACACCGAAACATTAATAATCTTTATACCCCAATATATTTCAGCGCAACATTATATTCCCAGCTAATTTCACCCATCAGAAATACCGGCACTCTTCAATCATATTTTGCAAAAAAAATATACGAAAGCATGGAATAAAAAAACCACAAGCATGCGCCGCGGCTTTTCCACCATCCGCCTACCCTCATTAGATATTCCCCCGATCTCCCGATTTTACCGCGTCGATCCGGCAACGCCGGAGAACTCTTAGTTGGGTGCGCCGCCGTTACGTCGCGGCGGCGTCGGCGTCGTTTTCTACGAATTCGCCGTTCGTAGATCAATAGGGGAGGCGCGGGCGTGGCGTGGCGATTGCCGATCTTTTGATTTCTACGTTTTCCGCGTAAAACGCCAGAGAGGAAATAAAAAAGACGAATCCGTCCTCCCGCGACTTTCATTACCGGCGAAATAGAATTCAGGAATTTTTCCCCGTCCGAAGACGTGGAAGAGGTTCGACTAATGGAAAAAGCGAGTTCGAACTTGACGAGTTTTCTTGTTTATCTTGGGGAGTAGAATATTTTTTTATTCGTTAAATAGGTATTTAATATCGCGCAATCGACTCCAAAATTGCCAATATTCAGCGCTAAATTTCCCGCACAATTGCAAACGTCCCCATTAATCTATTAATTGAATAAAACAGGTAAAACAACAACGACCTCTTTGGATGCGTTATATCAATTTCGGTTTATTGTAATTACGAATATAATTAATTTAACCGTTAATTCTTATCACTAACGGTTAAACGCAAATAGTTGTAATAACAAAAGGGTTAATAAAAGTTGATGGCATTAGTAAAAAATTGATTGTAAAAAAGCTGTGAACATCAAAGGATTTAATGAGTGTGTAATAATTACCTCAGGAGGTACTTCGAGAGTACAACGTGAAATCGTAAATTTTATAGGGAATGTAAACACGCTGCAGCAGGATTTCAAAGAGAAAAGAGTGTATACGTTCACCTATGTGTGCCCTCGTATGATATTTAATACTTAAACATGTCACACATGTGTGATAGAGCTGTGCAAACAAGATTATAGAAAAGCTCTAAAAAGATATCCGGGGAAAATTGGAAAAATCGGCTCAAAAACAAAATTTCTGCAAGGAACGCACAAATATTTTCATATCTAAACCCCAAATTCGAATATATAACACAAAGATTATTGCTTATAAATTACACTTTATAATTTAATCAGAATTATGGAGACTAAGTTTTAATGACGGGCGCACTAAAAAAGGAAATAAACCGATTAACGATTTGAATTTCACGATTAGTAATGTATTCCAAATGAATTTATTGAAATTTACTCAGTACCAGACATTATTTGTCTCATGATATTTAATTCAGTCTGATAAACAAACGACAAATTAAATCACTTATATGTACTGCCAAGTATCAGAAATGATATTCTATTTATATGTGTCTATGTTTATTAGCGCGAACTTTCACATTCATATAGATTTTGAGCATAGATATGATACATGTTAGACAAAACACTCGTTTTGAAGGTGCGTTGAAAAATAATAATGTTATAATAATAGTTAATAATGTTGCTAAAGCTGATAGATTATTTAAAAATAAATCGGTTTTATGTACCGAGGATTATATTAGATTTAAAAAAATTAAATTCCCTTTATTTTCTAATATTGGCATTTGTTAACCCTGTGAAAGATCAAAGTGGTCGACAAATGTTCATAATGGTAAATTGATTCAATTTCGTTCCAGATTTAAAAGATTGGAGTTTAAAAAAGAAGATGAAAGCAAAGAAAACAAAGCAAAAACTAGAAATGCTGATAGGAGATAAAAATGGATCCAGGATTCACTTCAGAACTCTTTTGTAGTGTGCTCTGCTGCTTTTTCATTCTTGAGAGAACATATTTCGAACAAAAACTCAAATTTATCGATGGAATCTCGGTATTGTTTTCAAAGTTTGATATCTATCTATTCGTAATCTCAACATGTACAATACCTCTTTAAAAAATAACGAATTTATTTGTTTTACGAAATAAATTTAATGACTTGTAAGATAAAAATTTATACTATAGGGGAATTTATTCCATTTCCACTGCATTGGAATATGAAGACTTAATAATAAAGGGATTTTAATTGGATCTTAAATTGTTTAAATCATAAAAATAAGCATCCTAAACTGTTGTGAATTAGTTCATTTAAGATGATTTTAAAAATGTAACTCGGAACATATTGGTTCATTGGTTCATTGCAAATAATTTTTGGAATTTTTATTGTGAATATATGGATCTTTACCACAATAATGATTCACACTAGGCGTGTTATTAGGATCGGTAACTAAAAAAATGTTGATTTCCTTAGTGGAAAATAAGGGATAATTAATAATATTCCACAATTTCGTCACGCCAGTATTTCCATAAATTCCATAAAAATTCACTTCCCTTTTACCACACTCCAATTAAATATTGCGTAAAAATAACGCAAAATGAAGCAATGATATTAAAAAAAATATTTCAGAAATTCAATAGCGCAACGAACAAAACATAGTTAAATCCTTTGTAACATTCGAGTATTGTTTTCAGTTAAATTGACTAAACATGCAATACAAATTAACGAAAACTAGAGGACGTGCCAGGTAAAGCCTAAAACTATCGAAAAATTAAAATAATGGTTCCCCCGGCCAGGTCAAAGACACTGATAAAACGAAAATAAAAAAAATTGTTCAACTGCGTAAGTGAGCACATCAGAAACGCTTGGCACAACCTGCACATGTTGTCGATTGTGCTCCAACTCCAGCCCATTCATGGCTGCTCATGAACGAAATTTCCCACGCCGGGCCTGCTCCGGCCAGTGTAGGTAGAAAACAATATTACAAATATTGCGACTTTTATCATACGTTCAAACTGTAGACGTTTTGGCAAGATGGTTTTCGAAATGTTTTATTGGATTCGCGAAGGAATTCGGATTCGAAACCAATTCAAGGGACCTTGAAAGCATTTTATAAAAATACATTGGCCTGTCTGTGAAGTTCGCGAAATAGATAAAAACAATGTGAAGAAATGTCAAATGTTTCCTTGACATTTTTTCTTCGCTTCGCTCCTAATAAAGTAATGCAAAACGTCTAATTACACATGCAAATACAAAGCGAGCTAAATTCCATCTTGCGACGAATTGGATTTATCTCATCTAAACGGTATTTTTATTTCGTACATGCATTAACTTCCGATGCGATTATTTACACCGCATATTGACACTACAATATAAGTTAATAAAAGGGTTTCCATACCTTCTTCAGAATCGCCCAAGGATTCGTCATTTTGTATTTGAATAACATCTAAAACAACAATTAGGGTGTCACTCAACAATCAAAAAAACCAACAGTTTACTCACCCGCCATCTTGTACTAATATCAAAACATAGCTAGGCAAAGGCAATGCACGTGATTTAAAAACTTAATCGAGAGCAAATGGCTATCTTCACACTGTAAATCATCCGTTCAACGACAGCTCCGAACTACACCACTTCAAATATGTCTACACCGTACGTCGAACGATGTCAAAAATGCCATATATTTTTATGGTGGTTTTAAAATTAATATAAAATTGCCACATTTATGTTAATTCTTAAATTTTTTATGCATTTAATTATTGATTTTTTATATTTCTTCTATATCGAACTCCTGAAATTATGATAGTAAAAGTCACAACGTTATTAAAAAAAGAAGAAAAAATAAGGTTAAGGTAACATAAATAAAGCGCAAATGTAAACAAATGGAAACATTTAAAATTAATATCAAATATAAGAATACTTGTTTTAATAAAATAAATAAAAATATACCTTTCCTAACGTTTCTTTACATTTATATGTACATCTTCAATATTTCACATTTTTAACAGTCTATAATATATTATTTTAATGTCGGAAATAAAAAAATTGAAAGTCATAACATTAAAATATATTTAAGATTCGTAATAATAAAGAAAAAACAATTTCCATAGTTTTTATAAAGAAAATATACATATGCGCAGCTGTTGCCATTCATTCGCGTTTAAATTTAAAATACACACGCCTCGCACCTCCAATAATTAAATATACATCCATTCAATTTCTTTTCTCCTAACCATAATCAAATAAACTTCCTATTCACAAATTTCAAAACAAAGTTATAAAATAGTACATAATAAAAATATTTAAAATAAATAGTTCCTTTTTTTAATAATAAAATACAAACCCGTTATTTGCATATGATGCAGCAAATTTGTACAAATCGTTATTTTATAACAGATAAATATTCATACTCTTATAGGATTTGACACCTCGTGTGTCATGATGGTGGATAATGCTCTTCGATCTCGCGAAACGGCGACCTGCACATCGGACATTCCACTAATTGCTTGGCACAAGTGACACAAAATCCCCTAGAAAAAAAAAAACATACCAACTAAAACTCGAAATACCCCAAAACAGAGCCGATCGACTTACGAATGTTCGCAAGGCAGCAATCGTATAGTTGCCTTCTGATCGTAACACAACGTACAACTATCCTCTCCGATGTTCTGTTCTCGAAGTTGATTAAGGAATATATGCCTAGGCAGAACGATTTTCTCTTCGGCAGTCAAATTACCGCAGTCATTGAACGTGGAATAGGCCACATTTGGGGGGAATACGAACGGTTCAGCACCAAAATTGAATCGACATTGTTGGAATGACATGAAACTGGCTGCGGCAAAGAAACCTGATCTAAAAATATTCACATTATTAGTAATAAATAACAGATTACACAATGAACGTACAATATAAGCTATTTACACTAGAATATATGTTACTGGTAAGTTAGAGAAACCACTAAACTTAGGTTTAACCAGGTACACTGGAGGTACGCAAGAAACCTACTAGTTTCTTGAGTTTATCCGGAAAAACCCAAGTTTAGTGGTTAATCTAACTTCACTCGTAACAGCTACATGAGTTCCAAGCGCTGCTTAAATTACCTGCATTTACAGCTACAGATAAAAGTACATATTTAATGCTTACTTTGCCATAGTGAACACGTGCATACATGGTGGTAAACTACAGCCATTCAAGGAGAAAACGATTTCTTGATTATCTAAATCTAACAAACAACCTAAGATATCGCCAGATTTCCATCTGGGCAAATTTTGCGGATCGGACTTTGCGTTGTACCATATCAATTTCCTGCAACCGTCGTACGCTAACGAATACCTGTCGTCGCCTATACCGTAACCTTCCTGAAAAAATACAATAAAATTAATCGATGTATCGTTCGTTTTCTGATGCCTTACGTGGTTTAAAAAATTGCTGTTTTTGGTCGCCCAACCGATCTGCATTACGCCGGGCGTTATGATCAACACTTCGTAGTACCAGGCGCCTTTATCGGCCTGGGCGGTGCACCGGACGCTTTCGAATGAATACGCATCGCATCTGGCTTCCAAACCGTCGGGCGATATTTTCAAATATTCGCTGACATCCGACGTGTTTAACATGGCGTTTATCGTGGACATGTCGATGGTTTTGTAGCTGTACTCGCGATTTTCCATCACAACTGCAATGAACGTTTGGTTATCGTGCGTTAAGATTTACGTCGAGATGTTTTCGTACATAAATTGTCGAGTATCCATTGGGCGCAGAAGCCGACTTGTCTTTGTATGTAGCGTTTCTCTTCCTTCCAGGATTCCAGCAAGGCGACAGGAGAGATCGGCAGTTTTTTTATTTTATTCGTTATGGTAATTTTATTACTGCTGGTTTGGGCGAATTTTTCTAACGCTATCAAGGAAAACAAGACCACGCTGGGATCAGTCGAAGGATCCTGAAATGGAACACAATCAGACATTCGTGTGAAATTTAACAAAACGATTAAACCTCACCAAATTCATTAATAAATAATCAATAATATCGTCGTTCAATATTTCCATGTTCCTCGGTCCGGCCAATTTTTCCGCTATGCAACCCAACACTACGCAAATATTTCTTTGTTTCGGGGGATCCAGCTGACCTAATACTGCGGCTTCTTCCGATAAATTAAGCATACTAACAACCTAAATAAAATTCAATAAAACAATTCATTCAATTCAATAAAAGTAGAGGCCTAGAGAGATACATACTTTGCACACTGATTCCTTTGAAGGTAAAGGACAATCATCTAATAACAAAGTTATTACGGAAGGTCCTAGAGGATCCTCCATTGGAATAACATTAATCATTGAATTGACTACTTGAATCCAGCCATCTTCATTGTCTGCTATGTTATGTAAAAGTTGCATAGAACTGGGGGGTTCCTGTTCACTAGAAGTTGAAGAAATTAACAATGTATTCTTTCGAATTTAATAATAACTTTTCTTTATATCGATAATATAAAATTACACTTGGAATAGAAGTAAGCATTAATTTAATTGAGTGATGTGATAAAATAACTATTTGCTTTCTTTCAATATAATGTTATTATTAAGCGGATTCCACTAGCAATTAATTAGAACTAATTGTTTCGTGTAATGAAACATCGAATTAGTCAGATTAACAAGTTTGTAAATAAAACTGCTCTAATTATTCATCTACTCCAGATAAAACAATTTTATCAGATTTAATTGAAATAAATTTGTTTAACAAACATATTTAATGAAGTTGAATATTGAATTGTTTGTTAATTTACAAGGCATTAAATAAATAATTACAATGGAGAATCAGGTGTGAATGTCTAGACCTGCAAATAGGTGTGAAATTAATATAACTAACTACTCTTAATATTTATTAACCCATATGGGTTATCTAAACGTGACTGTAGAATAAACAATGCAAAATAATTAATAAAAGTACTCGAGATTAACAAAGAAGTTCAAATTCTATAATATTGTGTAAATTATTTGTAGGTTTTCGTTCGAAATTTAATAACTTACTTGTCGACTAAGGAAGCAATAACGCCTAATGTTTCCAGTACTAGCTTATCGACGTAGGTCGCATCGGGAACCTTCGATAGTTTAAAAGAATACTGGGTACTAACAGGCGAGACAGGTTGAATAACGTTGTGAATTTGAAGACCGTTTGGTGATTGCGGTGGCAAATACGAATCGTTTTCTTCATTCTTCTCTTTACACCAACAACTACCCATTACGTTTGTGGAACTTATAATTATTCGAATAAATTCGTATCAACTACATAATACAAGTATTTACATTTATGTTGGTATAATCATTGACACTAATATATTGAAACTTGAATTCCAGCACCGAAAGGAACACTTATAATACTGCATTAGGAGATTTTTTCTGGAGCCATACACTAAATACATCAACTGCGAGGAATTAACATCGAATTGGAAGTTCTCGAAGAAATATTGAAACTTAAAACGTGAAAATTATTAGCACTGACAGAATTTTGATTTGGTTAGAAATTTTCACTTCATTACGAAACGTCATCCGTCATTTACGTCATGTCATCCAGTTGTCAAAGGTGAAAATGGAAGTGGCTACGCGGTCGACTGGAAGGACATTTGTTAAACTGGTTGCATAAGTTAAAGAACAGACCAATTTATAATAGTATTTATTTTAAAATACATAATAAGTAAGGAGTTAGGACAATTGTATGTTTCTTTAGATTGCAGTTTTTAAAGATTAATTTTCAAACACTTAATACTAAGTAAAAATAATATTGAAGTAATTTACAATAGATTCTTTTTGTAAAATAAAAGGTTTTTTAGGAAATAACGGGAGTAAAAATAAATATGTGCACTCAAAATGAGTTTATTTTCAAAAGAATTCAGAACAATACTTAATTTTATAGTCTAGAAAGGGAAAAAAGGGAGAAACTTACATACAATTCACAAATGAAAACTTAGGAAATTTAGTTGAAAACTAATTAGATTAGACCTTGGCGAAGACAAAGAATTAATTAAATTAATTAATGAAAAGGAAACCTTAAATTCACCATATTATGTCCACAAAGTATGAAATACTACCGAGAAAACTTTATAAAAAGAAATCTACGAAACTTCCACCTACGCTCAGCAAACACAAGAAATAAAATTAATTAGAGGCGCATTAAAATTTATCCAACGATTATCCTACGTGTGTTCTTTCCAACAGGAATATTCCCCGTTATAGCCTCCTGGCGGACGTCAAATTCCGTTCCGCATTCGAAATTCTTAAGCCCCTTCGTGCGCCCCGCGCGTCATTTCGTACCTTCGGGAGAGCTTTTAAAGTTGCGAGCTTCTCCCGTGACGTCATTGCGACTTCATTATCGATCGCTCCAACCGCGTGTTACAGCAGAAAGCATCCGAAACGACTGGAAAAACTCCGAGATCGCTCTCGCGAACGGCCCAACGCATCGGTGCGACTCGCGACCCCCGCAAATCGGGACGATGCTCCGCTGAAAATCGTCCGGAATTTTCGTCGGAAAAATGCCCATCGTCCGGTCGAAAGATCGAGTTCGCTCTTAGGCGAGTTTCCATCCCAAGGAGAGCATCTTCGTTTCGTCGGGGTAAATGACTTTTGTTAATTAATTATCTCGGTGGAGTCGGGGTGATGATCAGAGGGTGATTTTCGCGGGTGTATTTGATCGAAGTGTGATTGCGTTCGTGCGATAATATTTTTTTCTATCGTATTTATCGAGCTTTGATTGAATTGTGAAACATCTGCAGTGCGAAATCCCTAATTAACCATTCAGATTCCCCATTTATTATTTTCGCTACTTACAAATCAAATTCACTAAACAAAATATTTTTTAATTTTGTTTGTTTTGTTGCTAGTGAAAAATCTAATTTGAAGATAGATTCTAATTTTTTTAAAAATATTCCTTTAATACTAATTAGTTAAATAATTAACATAACTATAACATTTACCCTTTTTCTTAATTAAACTAAATAAATTTTGAATAATCCTTTTTTACTTGACCTAATTTAGTATTCATTCTAACTATTTTTGTAGTCCTTAACTTCGTGTTGGACCCTTCTGGTTAGCTATTTTTGTAACTTATTTATAAAAATTGGGGTAATAAATAAAAATAAAAACCTTGGTATTTATAATACATTTTCGATATATATTTTTTGTATAATTAAGTGGCTCTGTGTTGTTGAAGGTAGTGTGATGTGGCGGCGAAAACGAGAACGTTCGGGGGGTAGGTAGCGGCGCGGGAGCCCCCCGGCCCCAGCATGATGCGCTCTAGAGAATGAAGAAGCAAAACGTTCGCACCTTATCTCTAATTGTTTGCACCTTCACGTACCTTCTCATCGGCGCCGCCGTTTTCGATGCTCTCGAATCCAAAACGGAAAACCAAAGAAAAATTGTCCTACAGGGTAAGCAAACATCACAAAACTACACCCCATCCACAACATCCAGAACCACCATGATCATTTCACTTCCCTTCCCAAGCATTTCCTTCCCTCATTTACCTCTAAGGCTTCCTAATATAAGTAAGTTCTGTTGCAGAAATACAAAATATAGTCAGAAAGAAGTACAACATTAGCGACGAGGATTTCAGGATAATGGAAACCATAGTGCTGAAATCGGAACCCCACAGAGCTGGCCAGCAATGGAAGTTCACGGGGGCCTTTTACTACGCCACAACGGTGCTAACTACCATAGGTTACGGTCATTCTACTCCCAGCACCATCTCCGGTAAACTGTTCACCATGTTCTACGCCATCATCGGCATTCCCCTGGGGCTCGTCATGTTCCAGAGCATCGGAGAAAGGGTCAACAAGCTGAGCAGGTTGTCGCGCGAATTTCGCGAATTTCAAATAAACCTTTCATGGATCTTGTACCGTTTCAGCGTGATCATTCGTTCCGTCAAGTCTTCCCTGCACTGCAGACAAACCACGGCATCGGAGCTGGATCTAATCTGCGTCGTAACATTTCTGAGTTCTCTGACGATAGCCGGAGGTGCCGCGGCGTTTTCCAGATACGAGGGATGGAGCTACTTCGATTCGGTGTATTATTGCTTCATTACCTTGACCACAATAGGATTTGGAGATATGGTAAGATTCGTGATTGTACACAGCAAATCTTGCAACTGGCATAAATGGATATTTCCAGGTGGCGCTTCAGAAAGACAACGCTCTGAGCCAGAAGCCGGAATACGTGATGTTCGCTCTGATATTCATACTGTTCGGTTTAGCGATAGTGGCAGCCTCGCTCAATTTGCTGGTCCTTCGATTCGTAACCATGAACACGGAGGACGAGCGAAGGGACGAGGCGCAAGCCATGCAAGTAAGTCTCGAGGATTCTACATACAATTCCTCGTTATCATGGTGTAATTACTGTACAGCTTGTGGTGCTCTATGATTCTTTCAGTGCCTTTAAATGAGGTAATTTTGTATTGTAGGCTTTAGCTGGTGCTGTACGATTAGAAGGGGACGTTATAACAGCCAACGGTTCCATTCTAAGCGGTCAATTAGGACACCATTGTACAGAAACAACGTCTTTGGACGCCGACGATACCTCTGTGTGTTCTTGCCCGTGCGGGTGCATACCGACCAACAGCAGACACAGGTAAAATTCGTAGACCAGATCATTAATACAGGTGCTGGTAATGAATGGTGGATGTTTGTAGATATTCGATGCGCCGGTCGCCGACCCAGATTCGGCATCTCCTGCCGATTCTGCCGATGCACGAGCTGCATTTCTCCCAAGGGCCCGTCGTGCCGCCGCCGGCGATATGCCCCAATCACAGGGCTTCGATATGAGGTTGCCCCCCCGCCCAGGCTAATCAATGTGATACAATAACGCTGAACTATTATCGATTTATTGATAGCTAGTGACGATTGATATACCAATTAGTGGGTTTTTACATTTGTTATCCAAACGAATCGAAATGAAGTGGAAACCTTACGCGGCGAAGTGGTTTTTATTGAAGCGAATGTTCCTTGAGAAACTGAGGAAAAAAAGAAACCAATGGTTTCCTAACTTCATTGATTGAATTAATCAGTGGTTTATTTATATCATCGATATGATACGTTGATTAAACGTTGTACGTTGAATTTTAAATAAGGGAAATATACCCCATTATACGACAGCATTTATAAGGAGGATGTTATATATTGTTTAGTCTATTTTAATGAAGCTAATCAACTTATAAAACTGACTAACTAAATACGCAAAATGTGCAATGTATACAGGGTTGTACGGTTTTATATTAACCGAAATTATCCCCTTATAAAAACTGCTTGAATATTAAAATCTTATGAATATCTTTTTTAATATTATACATACAACAGAATGTTCTTTTTCAAATCTATAAATAACGAAAATAGTTGAAAAATTGAAATACGGAAAAGCTGTAAATTATGATTCTAGTTACAAAAATTAACGAATGCCTAACTAATTTATGAAATATTTGTTTTGAGGTATTTATTGTCCATATAATACGTTTACTTAATGCATATCTTTTACAAAGTAAAAAAATCCTGTAAATTGAAGTTGATGATTAAATTGCAGCTTTTCCGTAGCGAAATATCGAAACCTAATCAATTTTATTATTCGATTGACCTTATTAGATAAATATTCGAATAAGACTAATTTGCGTAAGTGAGAATCGATTTAAGAAAGAAAATTTGTCGACTCAGTGAAATTTTGGGATCAAATTAAGATGTTATTTTAGTCACGAAGCGTTGACTTAAGAATCTCCATCATTTCAGCTGATCACCTTTCTGATCTATTGTTCGTAAAAATAAGAATTTTTCAATACCTATTACACGGATAAGTTGCCGAAATCGTCGAATTACTCAAGCGCTTTTGACTATATGTTGGCTCATAGAAATCTCAAACTCTTGCGAATTTGCGCAGGGTGAAAAAAATCGAATGGAAAAAGAAACGCATGCGATTTACTTTGTTCTTTACTCAGTTAATGGACTGATTTGCCATACAATATCTGCTAAATATTCCATGATTGTATATAATCCATATACCTACCCACGCATTAGTTGTTACTACAAGTAGTTCAATTTTTATTAAACAATTTTAGTTATGAATCAACGATAGATTTATATCAGTATATAGCTCGAAGAAATAGTTTATAAATGAAATTCTAAAATAGCTATTAGGTAGATATACTTTCAAAAGTTCTTCTTGAACTTAATCTTTGAGCGGATATCTTCGGTATTTGTCTTCTGTGGTTATTCAAAAATATCGATACTTTATTCTTCCATTTAGATTATTAAGTTTAACAATTTGCTATGAAATTAATGAAGTAAAAACTGAACTACTTTAGCTAAAATCAAATACAGTGCGATTTTTGAAGCACTGTTCGTAAAACTGTAAATAAACAGACTGCGTTGTACAGATTTCAAGTACTGACACTACTTGTTAAAGTTCGAGGAAACCATTATTAAGAATTAAATGAATTCAAAGAGGCCTATTTTCAAGAATAATCATTTTTTTTAGGTGAAATAGAAACTCGAGAGCGGATTTTTTGCAGCATTTTCTCCGAACTTTCTCATCAAAGTAGTCACATATAGCGACCCGCTGCTGTAAAAATTAGCGTTAAACGATATGTTAATTAACAAGCTTATTTCCATCGAATTTGCGAAATTTTGAAATCTAAAAATTTTTACTGTATATAGGTGATGAAGACAAAACATTTAAAGAAAACACACACATATAGATGATATTGCATAGGGTTTTTGAAACTTTCCATTTCGTTCTAATTTACCTAATTAAATCTATTTTAGTACCTGCATGAAATTGAATGTTTGCGTGCTTACTACACGTTTAATTATACCGGGTGTCTCATTACTTTACAAGTAATAATAAGGATCATCAATAACACTTAAAAAGTCATGCAAAATATTTAAAAAAATACAGTATATGTATAATGAGACAGTCTGTATTGAGGAAGAAAGCAATACATTCAAGTTGGTTCGATTTGAGTTCGGTATTTTTTTCGCATCTAATAAAACGGCATTGTTAAAATTTGAGATATTTCAAATAAAACGACTTAGATAAAAGAAAATAAAAAACTTTTTGATAAAACTTGAATATTATAAATAACGTAAAACGTTGTTTGATTACTCTTAATTTTTATTGTGATTGTTGCTTGTTATATTATATTATGACTGTGTTTTTTAATAAAATGTGTTTCAGGAAAACCCCACACATTGTAATAATTTTACCACCCTTATCACTCGAATACATACCACCCTGCATAAGGAATATAAGGAAAAAACCAACAAATCATAGATAAAACACATTGATTAACCAAATTTTACATCGATCGTATATCAACCAAAAATTAACTCACTCCTCGTCGGCGAAGGCCTCCACCTTAGCGGTACCGCTGATGTCCATCAGCTCTTTGGAATGGAACGTGGCCACCAGCTTCAGCTCGCCCACGTACTTCGGCACCACCTTGGTTTCCACGCTGACGACGGCGCCGGGCTTCACGTTCGGGTGCGCGATGATCTGGTTGCGCAGGAGGGCGGCCCCGGACACGTGGAACTTGCAATTCGTCAGCGTCGTCTTCAGCGGATTGACGAACCGCAGCCCGATCGCGACCGGTTTCTTCGCCACGATGTTCCTGGGGACCTGCGGAAGCTCTAACTGAAGCGTTTGCGGGTTACTTTAGGGCCGGTTTGGCGTACCTTAATGTCGATGCTGGGTTTGATGACTTGGAAATCGTCTTCGGCGACCCACGTTTGCTTGGTGTCAGCCACTGTGGCGATGGCGAATATCTTCATGTTGGAATACTCGACGAGTTTGTCCAAATAATCGCTAGCGGCTACCGCTAGCTTCAATTCCTCGGCTGCAATTTATAAATATTGAAAAGGAAAAAACTCATTGATTGGTATATACGTACTTTTTTTTGGTTTCAGTTCAAATTCCCCATCGTCGCGGCTCACAACGTGAGCTTTGACGCCGTTGTAGTAAACAGTAGCGGCTGAAAGCTGGCATTTAATGCGATGAGTCTTGTCGCTGTTGTTCGTCATTTTCACCACCACGCTGAAGCTCTCCCCGATCTTGATTTGATCCAGCTCCTAACACCACCAACAATCGTCAGTTTACAGCTACTACATAATAGGAATGTGCGCTTACTTGCAGATCGAACTCGACGTCGTTCGCGGTGTCATCGCCCATGTCGAAGAACCTTTTGGCCGCTTCTGTTCCTCTAACGGCGTTCCAGAGCGACAAACGCTCGGCCCTGGAGCCTTCCTTGGATTTGTACTCGTGGGTTATGTCCTGACGGTCCTTGTCGCCGTTGTAATCGTACATGAAAGGCTGCTTCGTCAGGATCATGCGACCAATGCTAAGAATATCATCAAAAAAAAACCTATTACCACCCTTCCTCTGCTACACTTTTAGGCTTGGTGCCAGTCCAAGATGTACTTATATAAACCTTATAGCTAGCTATAAGTGTCCATTGGAGAGGTTTCTTGGGTGTACCATCTATTGGGAGTACTTACTGGTATTTGTTGCAGTAGATTCTTTGATAACCGAGTACGTTGGACTTGTCTTCCTTCCATCGCATCAGATCCGCGTTCACCGAAGCCACCATAAAACCGACGTCGTAATTGAAGCCGACCTGGCCTTTTTTGATGGCCTCTACGGAGGCCGGGCCGCATTGGAAGAACCCGTGCGAGGTCTCCTGCGGAGTGGCATCGATGGCTTGCCAACCACCGTAGCCTTAAAGAAGAAAATTTATTCGTTGTTTAGAGGAGTTCAGCAGAAGAGATTACCAGGAGGAAGATCCGGCCTGGCCATGTAGACGTCGTTCCAGACGTGATAGTTCCAAACGGAGTCCTCGCCCTCGAGGTTGTTGGGATCGAAGGGCATTTCCTCGTTGTTTTCGTCGAAGTATTTGTCGACGGTGAGAGTGGAATTGGCGTCGTGGGCTGACACCAGGTTCGATACCACTCTCGATGGAATGCCCAAAGCACGACAGACTGCAACATGCAAACGTTTCCGTATAGTAAAACTCTTACGAGTTATTTTGGAAGTGTACTAACTCGTAGTGACGACGCCGGAGAACACCCAGCATTGCCCGTAGGAGACGGGGTTTTGAGTGTCGAGGAAATCCTGCAAAATGGGCACGGAGCCGGTCCAAGCGGCGGGCGCGGTGCCGTCCTCGTACTGCCCGTCCCATCTTCCCACCAAAATGCCGTCGTCGTCGTTGCTGTTCACCATCTTCGAGATCATCCTGGTCAGTTTGATGGGATCGCCGCGACTGGCGTGCGACAGTCCGGAATTGTCCAGCATAAGTTGGATGGCGGGCAACACGCACGTGTCGAATTGTCCGAAAATCCATTCTCTACCTTTGGTGGTTCCCATTGGACCCACCCAAATCTTACCGGTTTCGTTCAGGACGTACTCATCTAGGAGTCTCGTTTGCGGCATGTACACCATATCATCTGTAAATAAGACTTTCAACTGCTACCTTCGAAGAAAAATGGAATACATACGGCAGTTCCATGGGTTACAGACGAAGTACAGGTCACCATCGTAGTTGAACAAGCTAATGTCCGACCTGGAATTCGTTAGACTCGTTTCTACTTGCACTGCCCACAATCCAACTGGTATATTCACCGGTGCGAATATCTGTAGATATCGGAATATACAATGAGAAATTTAAGAAACCTATTACTGGAAATGCTTTACCTCCAAGGTGAGAGAGTCGCCGCGACTGTCGAGGACATTTCCGAACCAGAGGCTTTGTTTGTCATCAATAGCATGTCTTCTGGCGGGATCGACGTGAACAACACCGCTTGTTCCTTTGATCGGATGCGGGTTAGGACCTGGAGGATTAAGGATGTGCAGAAGAGCGGGCTAAGTTTTAATCCTAACTTACCATAATTGAAGATTATTCTCACTACGTCCTGGTTTCTATCGAAGGTCCTGGCAAATCTGACTGCTACAGTGAATTTCTGGCCTCTTCTGAGCACCGGCGTCGGTACATCGTCGTTTACGATGTCGTATAAATCGGTTTTGTGGAGTTTGGAGTTTTGTTGAGGGTAGAGATAAAGCATTTGGGTTTGTAACGCCATGGTTGGTGGTTGTTAAATGAACTTACTGGCTCTAAATTATTTAAATAGTTTGTTTATAACTTGGCTAGTTGGTGAAACAAAGGGGAGTTGCGGATGAAGAAAATAAATAAAAAATAAGAATTTATTACCAAGTTGGCTATTTTTAACGATTTTTCATCGAGATTTAATCCGATTTTACCGTTAGATATTGAGTTTATTTATAATATACAAAAAATATTTTGATCTATCTTGAACATTATCGAAAGATTGTGGAATAGATATAAATGTTTATTTTTATTATTTATTTTTTATTTTATTTAGTGTATCATTAACAGAAATACAATTCTTCTTTCGCACTTGTAGTTTTGGAGTATTTGGAGTATTTTTGGAATATTGTATAATCAAACTTAATATTAAGGAATTACGAAAATTATAAAGCAAATAAAAAACTTATTAAAAAAATTGACAACCTGAAGAGTCATCTCATAACAGAAAAAATTTTATTTCAATAACATTTTAATTTTTTTTTATTTGATAAAGAATAATTTTGAGGAATACTTATGCTTACCTTCGAAATCTACTGGAGCACACGACCCTTTTGATTAACTGCTAGGAGTTATTAACATGCGATTATAAAACGCAAAATGGATTATCGGAATTGTGATATTCTTAATTATTTCCGTTTTATTTGAGACATCCGGTGGTGAATTAAAGCACACCATTTAGTGATTGTTTCTTTTTCAGAGGTTCCCAAAACTATTAACTGAATTGGTACTTTTCTAAACACTACAGTTATTTAATCATTTTAATTGTAATTGAAAGAAAATATTTAGATACGCTGTTGAAAGAAAAATTATACTTTCGATAAAAACCACAGGATTTGGGTGTTTGCACGTCAATTGATAATTCGCAAAACCCAAGATACCTAAAATAAAAACACAGTTAATTATCCGGATGTCTTGTGATAACAGATAATTAACGATTTAATTATAAACCAACAATTGAATATGAATTTTTATTGTGACCTGTTAAAATAATACATATTTACATATAGGTAAATACATTCAAATATATAAATATCTTATTATTATTCCATATAATAGATTAATGGATGAAAAATAAATTAATTTCAGATGCCATCGAAATGTGTTAATAAATAATTTACGCTAAAATGATAAAGTCTTAAAACATCCTTACGAAACCTGTACATTATAATAGTTATATAAGAATTTCTAGAATCTCAAAGAGCATTTTGCCACATTAAAAATTAACCGAACTTCTCCTTATAACTATATATTACAAAATAATCTATATTAAATTAATCAGTAATCGAAATTAAATTTATACTAACAAATCAGTTCTTATATCAAAGGCCAATTTGAATATGCAGGAAGACTTTGTTCTATTTTATAATTTCTAGTAACCACACCAAACCTAATTGGAAACTAAAAATAAATCCCAATATTTTATTTAAAAACGGACAATATAAATACTATTTGGGTATTTTCAAGCTACTAGAAATTGGGTGATTGAGAATAATTTGTACATAAAATAAAATTTATTTTAGGTAACTTTTATGTTACTAGAAATGCACAACTATTGCTTCAAACTTAAATACTAAATCGTTAGAAAATCGTTACGTTTCTTCCGCAGGAATTTACTTAAATTAATAATTTACCGAAGGATGAACTACCACGCGAAATAATTCTACATAAATAAATTATAAATATTAAATTAGTAATTATCTAAGGCAATAATATTTTTGTACTGTAGTCGCTTCTCTTCCAGACCTTCCTTTCAATAATCAACTAAATTCGTTTCCTTCGTATAAATTTTCACAAGTTTCTAATAATCTCAAAATCGGAGTTATGTTGTAAGGGAACAAATCTCGGGCCACCAGTCTGTTGATCAGGATCTTGAGGTGGATCAGAACCGACATGGTGTCCTCCAACTCATTACCTTCCCTGCAACTGCTGATAAACTTCGACCAGTTCCTTTTCGTGAACTTCAGGAACCTCAACAGGTAGAGCAAAAAGCAAGTTTCGTTACTGACTAAATAATCCAAGAGCACGTCCGGGTGATGCCTGACGATTTTCAAAAACTCTATAAACGAGTGTATGGGATTCAGCATGTTTATCAAATCGGGATAAACCGCGTTCCTGTACGAAATCCCTATTGTTATATCTAACGTACAAACCATAGCTTCGATCATGTAATCGTCTTGATCGCTGAACAACCGGACTAATATTTTGGAAAAAGGCGTTTCCGGATGGTAATTCAAGCTGTTTTTAATGAAAACATCGACTTTCCTCAGCACGTCTCTTATCGAACGTTCTATTAACTGCATGTCCTGATAAAAATCGGTTTCGTCCGATCCAACGCTCGAATCCGAACTGTCCGATCGCGTTTCCTTTATTGTCACAGCTACAGATTTCAATACCAGCAAAACCATCTTCTGCATTAGAGTCTTGTCGATGCTGCTCTGGCCGGGCTGCAGGCTCGCGATGGTGCCCACGAAACTGTTCACGACCAAACCCTCGTTCCTCCTAAAAGGCAGGCTATCCAGAAGCCTGTAATCCTTAACGTATCTAACCAACAAATGCGCCAATTGGCACGTATCTTCCGGAAGCATATCCTGCAATGCCAAGGTGCTGCCGTAGCACAGCACCTCGTTGAACAGCGACAGTATTTGCTTCCAAATGAGAGGCTGCAGCTGGCCGTTTAACATTCCGACGAATATTTCGAGATGGGCGTAGAACGGTTTGGTATCGATGACGCTTAGATTGGCTTTGACAGATATCGTACTCTCCCATAGAGCTAGGAATGTGAGTATGCACGTTTGCGATCGGACCGAAGTGTTATGCAAAATTAGAGTTTGAACCATGTGAATGAGCTCCGGCCATTTCGCCTCGAGGCTTTTAATGATCAGTCCTTTAATCGCGGACGTATCGTAGCTCTCCGGATCCGTGAAAGGTATCGTAATGCAATTTACGTTGATCCTGTCATCGGAACTCGGTCCGGCTAATTCGGAATTGTTATCGCTCTCTTCTAAAATGTGCAACTCGATGTCCTTCCATTCTACAACCCTCTTTATCACCTCTAAAGCGAATTGGATTTTCACATAATTGTAATTTTCGGAAGAAAAAAAGTTTACCAGAGTCTCTAACCACTCGTTGTTGATATTCGTTTTAGCTATTACTAAAAAACTACTCAAAACTTTAGCCGCCAAGAAATTAATGTAGTTATCCCTCGTCTCGCATAGTGATATTATTTGCTCTATTAAATTATATTCGTTACAGATTAGAGATTCGCATATATTAACAATCGACGAGCAAATAAACCCCTTGTTATTCTGTTTCAGATACACATCGAATAGAATTTGAAGGTTCGATAAAAATTGCAATACTTTCCTATTCGACCATTCGGATAGCATCGCGGTTCTACCTGTGCAATCGCCGGTCTCATGGCTCTCGAACAGTCTCAGCACTACGTCCGGTACCCCGCAAAGGCACTGTTTTAACAGAACGTTCTGGAAGTCATCCAGCCCAAACTCGTTCGCTTCGTCTACCCCGTTCGACCCGGATATCGGAGAATGGGACGGAGAAGGTATATCCGGAGCAGGGGTAATTGAGATATTTTCCGTGTTACTAATGTACGAGGTATCATTTTGATCTACCTTCGAATCGTCCGTACTGCTATCAAACTTATCACTAGTCCGAAATAGAGCACTTTCACTGTGGAGCTGCAAGTTGACGGCGTTTCGAGTGATGTCGTCTTCGTTAATGTGGGGCAGGGACAGCTGGAGGGCCTGGAAGTCTGTCGGAACCGTATCCGCTAGGTTATGGATGAAATCGGTTTCATCGGAATTCTCGGGTTCATTTTCTCTGCGCAATTTCTTCTTTAAGGGCTGTTCCGAACTCATTTTACAATTATTCTCAGTTAGAACCATTAGGAAGGCAAAAAGTCCGACTGGGAGAAAATGTACATAGCCCACTTCTTATTGGTAATTGTATCCTAAAATAAGATTAAATATGATTAAATTACAAAAAACGGACAAGGAAATAAGTTTATAAGTGAAATAAACCGAATATAAGAAAATTAAAAATGCCTCACTCACATTCATGTTTGTGTGTAACAAATAATTTCAGTAGCTGTTTCCCCTGAAGCTTTGTTGTGATATTATTGATAAATCTTAGCCAGGAGATTTTATAACTAGATTAAACCGTTTTCCTGGGATCGTTGTAACTCTTAAAACATATCAAAATATTGAAAATAACAAAACATTTATAAAAAACACAAAATTAATTTTGTAGCCCTGCCATTTCACATAGTTCACTGACAGCACAATCAAGTTAACAACTTGATTTGTAGCAAGTCGATATAAAAATTAAGAGTCAAATTATCGTATTGAAAATTGGCTAAATGAAATGTTCGTTAATAGTTATATTTTTTGCATAGATTTGTTATTTTCTTTTCGGTTAATGTAAGAAATATTTTATAATTTAAACTTTAATTTGATTAGTATTTTCGATTACTCCATTCAGTAGCAATTAGTAAAAGACAGTGCTATAGACTAGTATACTAAATAGAAAGAGATGCCATAAGAAAGTGAGAATTCATTCAAGAAAGTTTGTTCGTTTAGTTGCTCGAGATTCAAATAGAAGAACTAATATTTTAATTTTGATTTTACTAATTTTGGTTTTAAAAATTGATTGAAACGTACTTTGTGCCGTTTGTAAGTAAATATTTGTGTGTACATAAGTTTTTTCTTAATATTATTCAAATTTCGCGAGAGTTTGATAATTTTTTGATAATTTTGTTCTAATGTACAATTCGGAGTAAGTCGCTTGAGGTGTTCTGTCCTTGTTCTTCACAGTGTGTACTCTCTCATTCGTTACTTCGCACAAGTCACAAACTAGAAAGTAGCATATAAACGTAGAGAAGTCAGTTTTGATAGTAAGAAAAGAAATATCTAATAACTGATATCCAAATCTTAAAAAATTACTTCTTATTTATAGAATGGGTACCAAAATACAATATGTTTCTTAGCGCGGTGATAAAAGAATTTCCCCACAACAAAATTTAACATCTAAACCACAAAAATATTGTAAAGTGTTAAGTGATCTAGACAGAGGTTTATAAAAACAAAAAAAACTAATGGATTGGATGTCTCATAATAATTCCCGTTCCGTTTCGAGTCGCCTGGATTTAGCAAGAGCAAGTAATGATAGTCAGATGAAGCGTTATTAGTCAATGATATCAAGTAAAATTTCAGCTCAAGCCACCGAATTCGTACCCAGAGTAATCACCTCCAGTACATCTGGCTCGCCGAATTTTTTCAACAGCTACTCCAATCCCTCGGCCCTACATTCTATCGCCAAAAAATTGGAAGATGGAGGTCTGCCTGGTCACATCGCCTCGGAACCATCCGCCTCATCGTCGCCACCCCTAGTTAATAACACGGCCCTAATTAACAACTCGCCTGTACCGGATAAGGTGGGACCCAATCCGGCGTTGCCTGCTTACCAAGAAAATGTTGGGGGTACCACTTATTTCTACCAAATTCATGCTACTCCGGAGAACTGTCAACCAACTGAAGTTTCCGTAAGTTATTCCGTTCACCGAGGAATTACGAATTACTTTATTAGGGGGTTATTAAATGTAGGTTATAAAGCTTACTATTTTTTACTATTTGTTGCATTGATATTATATCGAGAGGGTAGTAATTTACTGTACAGAAGAGGTGTGAAAGTCTATTTTGATTCTAACATTTATGATAAGAGAATTTTCTAAGATAATAAACCACTTGTAATTAAGAATTTATTTAAACGAGGTGTATATCTTTAATCTTTTTGGGTAACAGTAACTCAACTTATACATTTTTTTTATATCTTATTCACAAAAATTAATTGCATTTGGAAATATTCTATGAACACGATAATGTCTTATCAGTGAAATGTATTTTACAAGTAAAATATGTTTCAGGGAATATTTAAAATGATAACTCATTTTCGATTTATGTATACATTACTTCAACAAAAAAAATGTATACAATTGAATCGGTTTCCTTTTTAGAATCCATCTCTACCGACCGAGTACAATGTCTATACAGCAAAGAAAGAACCATCGTTTTTCCTATCAGAAGACCTTCACAACGACATTCTAAATAGAAACGTGTTAACTTTGATGCAACCGGACCCGCAGCAATATCCAGATCTTCCGCAAGAAGTCGATAGCTACCACGAGTTGTACCCCCTCGAACCCATATCAAATAGCCTACACAAGGCCCATTTGGGCTACCAAGCTACAATGTACAAAGCCACCCACATCAAGACGGGCATTCCCTACTGCTTAAGGAGGATCCACGGTTTCAGATTGTCCAATACGAAATGCATGGCGTTCGTGGAGCTGTGGCGCAAACTCACTCATTCCAATATCGTTCAATTAACGAAGGTATTCACGACGAAGGCGTTCGGCGACAATTCCATGATATTCGTTTACGAGTACCATCCCGGCTCCGAGACGCTTCTGAACAAACACTTTTCGCCCGATCAACCGGGCTATAACGATCCGTTCCTCAACGACACCTCGACGCCGAGACCTTACAGCTATCAGAAGAACAACTTGCTCAGGCATACTCAGAACAATAAACTACCCGAACCTCTCATTTGGAACTACATCATTCAACTTACTTCTGCTTTAAGGATCATTCACTCGTCGGCGTTGGCTTGTAGGAGCTTAGATCCTACGAAAATTATCATTAATTCTCGCAACAGGTAACCAGTATCGATGAACTTGTATTGGTATATTATATATGTTTTAATTTAGGTTACGATTGAGCTGTTTAGGCGTTATGGACGTTGTGCATCAGGAAACAAACACTACAATTAACCACGTAACGCTGCTTCAACACTACCAGCAAGAAGACCTCACTGCTCTAGGAAAGGTGGTGCTAGCGCTCGCCTGTAAATCCACCACGGCTGTACAAAGGGAAAACATAAACACTGCTTTAGGTAAAATTCACATGGAAACGATTCGAGTAAATTATAATGATTGTTGTATAGAAATCGTAGGCCGTTCTTACACGTCCGATCTCCGAAATCTCATCATGTATCTGTTGGGGGCGCAGCAGCGACGCAGCGTCACCGATCTGATGCCCATGATAGGCGCTCGATTCTACACGCAACTCGATAATCTCCACAACTACATCGAGACGCTCGATCACGAGCTTTCGAAAGAAGTACAAAACGGTCGATTGTTCAGGATCATGACGAAACTGGCCACGATCAACGAACGGCCGGACTTCAATTTGGAAAGCACTTGGGCAGAAACCGGCGACAGGTGAATCTATTTCATACTCTTACAATCCAGACGCGGGTATTAATTGTTTCATAATGGTTTCAGGTACATGCTGAAGTTGTTCAGGGACTACGTGTTTCACCAGGTGCAGGAGGACGGTACGCCTTGGTTGGACATGGCGCATATCGTTCAATGTTTGAACAAATTGGACGTGGGCGTGCCGGAGAAGATCAGTTTGGTGTCGCGCGACGAACAGAGCGTCCTGGTGGTGTCCTACGCCGAGCTCAAGCATTGTCTCGAACAGTCTTTCAACGAACTTTGCAGCTCATCGTCGACGAGCATCCACGATATGAGCCGAATGCCGATCGGTATCGACGATAAGTTGTAGAGCGAAATCTGTCTGTGTTACTTAATAGGTCGGAGTCCAGGTGGATGTAATTATTTTCGGTTTTTTTTTTATACGTTTTGAATGCTTTTTTTTTGGGGGTTTTCAGTCAAATTTTTGACATTAGTCAATTAAAAAAGATGATAAAATCAATGCTTTTTGATAGGTAAGATTTAAAGAAATAAGCCCAGTGTTTTTTTATTGCTATGGATTTAGAAAAGGTTGATTTTATGTAATTGATTTTTATTTATTTGACTAGTGTTATTGTATGATTATTTTAGAAAAAAAATTAAATTTAAGATAAATTAGAGAAGAAAATAATAGTAAAAAATAAGTAATTGTAATTTGAACGTGTCAAGGGATGGATATTTTTATATACCTTCAAATTTACTTGCATCTACCAATCGATAGGGATTTCTTTCGTTACCATTAATTTTTTTACCACAAGTGTCAGTCAATGTGCGAACGCAGTGATGATTCATGATAAATTTTTAACGCAAATTGCAATAAAACTCAGGGAAAAATCATGAAAAACTAATCATTAATTAAATGTGAAACCAATGCATATTAAAATTATCATAATGAGGTAAAGAGTGACGAGAAATTTGCACATTGCTATTTCTGGAAGTAATTTTTGACGCACTAGACGCTAGACTCTAGATTTTAGAACCCGTTTAATTGGATTATTTAAGCTACCAATGAAATCTGAATAATTAAAAAACCACTTAAATTTATCGATTGTTAGATATGAATATTTCCAACGATCTGGATTTCGACTTAATCATGTACTTTAAGATTGCGTTGTGAGTTAAGAATGAATGGGGTTTAACAATAGTGATTGTTTACCAAAAAAAATTAAAATAATTTGTTTTCAATCGACGAACGTCGTTCAGTGGTCATCTAAAACGAACGTTCGTGTTATTGAAAGCATGTGTTTCCATTCTTTGATTAATAAATAGATATTTTTTGCATAAGTTATATTTTTCTTTATAAAAAAAAAGATGTATCAAAGCCGATTAATAAAAAAGCAATAAAAATTAAACATTGTTTCGACTTTTATTTGATTACACGAAAATAAATTTTTCCACTACATTAACCAGTAGTAGGATTATTTCGTTATTTTATGGGTACTACACGCTAACATAAAACGAAAATAAACATCCTACCTATAGGTTTTTAATGTACCGAACACATGACTGACCTTATTATGAACAAATACGAAAATATCAATGATTCGGCCGTACAATTCCGAGATTACAATAAATCATCATCGGGTGGGAGTCGAAGGTAATTCCTTCCAGCAGACTCCGCGGTAAATTCGTGTCATTTTTCGTTTAAAAGTCCGAAAGAGCGCACCGTTTGAGAGCCAATCATTAGCGCAATATATCGTGAAAATGCGTGCTGTTTATTCGATGTCCGTTTGTGCGCCGTTTGTGTTTCTTGCACTGATTCATTTCGGTAGGTATCAAGGGTGAGTGTGGGGAAAATTGGAAATAATCTCATATAATTTATTTAGAAAAATTGTGGTATGGTAGAACGGGCGGACCTATTGCTCACTTTGAATTCTCGTTCCTTTACTATTGATATAAGTGGCGGGTTGTACTAGAAAAGGAGCGAGAATTCAAGGTGAGCAGTAGGTTTGGCGCCCATCATACCTAAAAGATACATTTCTGATCAAAAACTGAAGACCTACAAAAATGATTATCACTAAACTGCACTTTATATCTAATATTAGTTCATTTACACCGAGAGAGCTTGTAAGGGAATATTTATACCAAAATATCTTTGGGAATCCCTTAGGAATCATCAATTTTTAACGCACTTTAAAATATATTCATTTAAAGTATATTTTGTGTAAAGACGGGAAGATCTTTTCAATACAACATAAATAACACCTTAAACCAATTTAAGCGCTAGTGTATTTTTTTATTAAATAAGTAGTTCGTAAAATTGAGCCAAGTATTTAAATTAAGCTTTAAATTTAAATTAGGCGGTGGTTGAGTCAGTGCAAATTCAACAAATTAGGAGAGTGCTGATTAAGAGATGTCGACGGATTAAATTTGTTAATTAATTTAATTTTAATTGAATTAGGTTTAACTACGCTGCTTGATGACACTTCTAGGTAAAGCGGAAAAAACAATTTATTACCTACACTTTTACAATTCAGCAATTATTGATGATTTTTCGCTTAAATTTCAGTGAGAACAATACTTTCTAAGCAATTTTGAGAAATAATAAAAAAACTAGGCCATAAATTCTCGTCAGGATGCTTCTATTTTACGCCGAATTTACTAAATTAAACATCGCTTCCTTTCGATGTCAAGCATTACGAATTTTCTAAGGTGCAGACATTACTCATTCCTATAATAATTTTGACCTTGTTGCCGCTTACATAATTGCTGGACATAATGTAATCATCGTTTTATTTTTGCGTATGTATTGAAAATGCGTAAGAGTTTATTGAATCACGAAATTAGGAACATTTTTACGTCCATTGTGAAAATAAAACGTTTTATTATACACAAGGCGTATGTGATTTACAAAGCTACGAGTATGTTGAAATAATTGGTTTTTAAATTTTAAGGTGCAATACTTCCTCTTGTTTATGCAATTAACCCGTTTAATTGTCGATATAAATACCAAAAACAATAAGGCACACGACATATTGTTGTAGATAAGTGCAATTTTTACTTAGCTACTTGAAGGTCGAAAATATTTAGATTTACGTGGGCATGCTGTTTTAATGAAAAAAAAGTAGGTACAATTTAACGCTTTGATGAGCAACTATTTAATGACACAATTTTATTACCTAAAAACAATCGAAATTCTATACATACTGTTACATTTCCATATAAGAACTAGGCAAAAATTACACATAAAACAATCCCTAAATACGTGATTTTCCTCAGGTTCTGCTCTGCAATGCTGGAAGTGCCACTCAGAGTTCGACATCACCTGCCACGATTACTTCAACGTGACCAGAATCGAGCAGAACAAGCGGTACTACGATAACTTCAACTACGGCAGCAACAGGCCCGTTCAGAACCAAAGGAACGAACCCCATTTGGAGCACTGCGACCAGAGCTACGCCACTCATTTCAACCAAAAAACCGTCTGCTTGAAGAGAGTCTACAGAGGTAATTCGCAAACTTGTTAGATAACCTTCTTGAAAGACCAATTCCTTGGTGGATACATGCATGGTTTCTCTCGAAGTTGAGCATCTTCCTTAGAGTAACCAGAATTCACCATAAAACTTGTAAGATAACTTTCTTGGAGGAACAATTTCGTGGTGGATACATACATGGTTCCTCTTGAAGTAGAGTTTCTGGAGTAACCAGATTCAACATGAAACTTTTGATAATCCTTCTGAAAGGATCATTTTATTGAAGAATGCATACATGATTCCTGTAGTAGCAAAGTCACTTTCCCAGAGTAACTTCGTGAAGAAACTTGATAGATATCCTTCTTGAAGAATCAATTTTTTAGTGGATTATGTAATGAACGAAATGTAATTCTTATGTGTTTTTAGCTCCAGGAAGCAACGACAGACCTCACGTACAAAGAGAATGCCGACTGGTATCGATCAATCTGAAAGAAGGCGAATGTCCGGAAGATCTGGCGTCTGATAGAAGCAGGACCGTCGATTTCTGCGGTACTTGCACCTACGACGGGTGCAATGGCGCGACTGGAATCAGAACAAACGTCCTCGCAGCTCTGATCCTGCCGGTGCTAATGCTGCTGGTGTTGAGGAAATAGAGTAATAATTTTGTTTGTACATTCAAAGTTTAGTACTGATAAAGATATTATATTGTGGATAGTTTAAACATTTTTGTATAATAATTATCAATGAGTTTATTGTTTGTATGTTTTGTTTTATTTGTTAGATATATGAAATTTTATTAACAACTGTAAGATTAAATTATTTAGTTAGAAAATTAGAGTTTTTTTAAATTAAATTTCTTGTAAATTGATTCCTCCACTAAAATTTTGGTCATTCTGTTGAATATATACAGGGTGTTTCTATTAAATTGGTGATTCATGATGAATATTGTGATGATTTTTTAATGCTCGGCCTTAGAAAATGTTGTTCCAAGGCAAAGGAAAATTTGGATACAATTTATTATATTTAAATTATGCATAAATATCTGTTTGTGGGTAACGACTTTTCAATTCCTAAAATATGCACATATTTTTACATTCGTGAAGCAATTTCTATTTTGATGTTTACCTAATACTTACTTCTTTTTAAATCCATATACTAAACGATTAATATTTTACACATCTATATGTATAATAGTGTGGTGAAAGAGAAAAAAAATGTTAATTTTTCTCAATAATCGTGTATTTCCGACGCGACGTTATAGAACTCTACTAGTTATGCAGTTAAATGCTCGTTTTATATCTTGAATTCTTGAATAAAATGCAAGTTAATTATTTTGAGCAGTTGAATTTCAAGGCAGCGGATAATTAACCGCATTTTCATGGTCGCTAAAAACGCCGGAGTTTTAAAACGCAAACCTTCCGATTAAACTTGAATTAATGTGCACCTATATCTGACATCTTGGTGAGGAAATAGGAATAAAACAACCTGTTTCTCCTTCTTTGAGAGTTTGTCAGTATTAAAAAATATGCTCCGTTCGTTAATTGTGTTTTCGTTAGTTATCAATCTTGGTACGTAGCTAAATTATGTTGTTTGTAGTTATTTGTGTAACAGTACTGGTTTTTTGTGTATTATGCGTATATCGCTCCGCTAATAAATATAATCACCGCAACTTTTATGCGACGTTGGAAGATGTTTTGATATCATTTGAAAATATTTTTACGACTTTCGAATTGATTGTAAGGAATGATCTTCCTTATCAGGAAACGATTTTGAAGTTTTGGCTACTTTGATACAAAATATCCGAAATTGGTAATAAATCATTAAATTCAATCCAAAATGCAATGTTAAGAAAATTTATCAATTTCCTTTTGCAGGTTGTTCTTTAATTTGCTGGAACTGCGACACGATACAAAGCCCAGAAGGATGCAAAGACCCTTTTAACATTACCCAGGTTTACGAAGAAAGGATGAACCGCCTGCAAAAATACGACTACGGGTTTCCGAAGACCTTGCAATGCCAAAATGACGGTTCCAGGGCCGAGAAAATGGTGTGCTTAAAATTTATCTACAAAAGTAGGTATAAGTAAATACACCGCAGGAATTGATACTAACTGTTTACTGTTTGATTGATACTAGCTGTAGATACGAATAAAATTGTGATTGAAAGAAAATGCCAACTGGTTCCAAAGGATTTGTCTGAGGGTGAGTGTCCTGAAAAGTTGTTAAGCGATTCCAGTAGAGCTGTTGATTTTTGCGGGACCTGCGATGGTGATGAATGCAACAGTGGTAACGATATTAAATTTAATTTTGCTGTTTTAGTAATGACACTAATTTTATCTCTATTGGGAATATAGATGTAAGATAGGTCCTACCTAATTAGATATATTACTCTAATAGAGTAAAAGTTTAAAATATTTTAAAATATATTTAATAATAATAGGTAACACCTATATAGGTATCGTACTACATAATAGAGTAGGTATGATATCACAAGAATGTACAAATATAAGCCAAAATTTTTGAAAGGGGTCAGTTTGGAACAAATGGATAAAATGGGGCTACTTTACATGTATATTAAAAATAGTACCCATTTGTTTAGTAGGCTTATAAATATGACTTAATAATATATCTATAGCTTTTTTAATAAATTTGTTTTACAATAAAAGTTGTACATTTGATTTCTTATCCACATACATAATTAATCGGCAAATCATGAGAGCTTTATTAAATAAATAAATTTTATTTTCGAGTACCATTAAAAAAATTCAAATTACGCCTCTGTTCTTTAACTTGATACGTCCCTGTATTCCACTTGCTGTACAACCTTAAAGTAAGAGCTCCAGTATCTTAAAAAAAGAAGACGAAATTGACAATTTGACATTTAGAAAATGATACACGTTTCGTATTTGACAATTTGATTTCAATTATAAAATGTTTTAAAAAAAGCGAAAATGACTTATTTAAAATCCTGGGAAGAATTTGAAAAGGCTGCAGAAAAACTGTACCTGCAATCTCCTGCAAAAGTTCGATATACTATGAAGTATGCGCATTCAAAAAATCATTTAATTCTTAAAATGACTGACGATGTAGTAGTAAGTAGTACAAACGCAGGATAATACTCACCTGCTACGTTAAATTCACTTTGTTTTAGTGCCTTCAATTTAAAACCGAGATAGCTCAAGACCTTAGGAAAATAGATAAGTTTATAAACAACTTATTAAGACATATGGTTTCAAAGGAGCATTAACCTATAGAAAGCATAAGGTATTTAATTAATTTTAGGTGACTTTTTTGTATGGAATTTTGCTGTTAAAATACAAACTCAACTACACTAATAGGAAAGTTTATTTATTATCTTAAACCATATTACTACGTAGATACTCATCATCATTAATCTTTATTAAATGAGTGCTCAAAAACTCATCGACTGAGTCCGTGTTCCACTTTTCAATAGCCACAGTCTCCTGTAAGTGCCCGTCTTTATCATACAGCTTAATAATCGGGTCGAGTCCTCGGACATATTTAATTTGTAAATTGGGGTATTTGTCGGGCCTTTCGCTTTTGATAAACGCCTGAATTTGGGGGTAGGCCCCAAACTTGCACGTACACACTTCTAAAACTGCTTTATAATATATCTTCTCAGTCGAATTAGTTTCGTCCGGCCGGCAACATTCCTTACAATGATTTCTGAAAATTAACAGGCATAAATATGATTTTAAATAAAGTAGAATAAATTGAATTCTCACGTTAATTCGTCTAATTGGAATTTGTTGAGCTGATCGCAGGATGAGCATAACAAATTCGCTTTATGGAATCCTAGAGACCAGCAATCTTCTGTAGAAAATTCTGATGAAACTGAATTCTGTAATAGATAATGTAGGTAAATATTTAAAGTACATATCTACTGTAAGTACTTACTACAAATATTATGAAGAAACTTAATATAATTCGTCGCATTTTGCTGTTTTTACTCAATATCTTTGTTGAAAATAAATTTTAAGAGGTTAAAAAATAAATGTCAGCTGCACTTATGACGTGTATGACGTATGACAATTCAAACAATTTTTTCACTTTAAATATCTGTAATACTTATAAGTAAAAGGCACCAAATTGACTTGATACTATGACAGATTTAGGTTAGTTAGTATTTAAGGTTATGTAAAATTTAAAAACATTTAAAAAATGTTTAAATTATTGAATCAACCAACATTATGCACTTTAACCGAATACATTCTTGCGTATTCCCAACACAGCTCATCTAGAGTTTTAGTTAAATTAGCGCAAACCAGATCAATACATAATGGAAAATCCAATCCCAAATTGGAAGATGACTCGAAACCTGATCATAGGAAAATAGGAAGAGACCAAGAATTATATTTCTTTAACGAAATGTCCCCTGGTTCTTGTTTCTTCCAACCGCGCGGTGCTCACATTTACAATACCTTGGTGAATTTTATAAAACAACAGTACAAAGAAAGAGGTTACAAGGAAGTGATAACGCCGAATATTTATAATGTGAAATTGTGGAAAAAGTCTGGACATTGGTCGCATTACGCTGAGAATATGTTTGCTTTCGACATCGAGAACGATAAGTATGCATTGAAGCCGATGAATTGTCCTGGACATTGTTTGATTTTCGATAACCGGTTTCGTTCGTGGAGGGAATTGCCCCTTCGACTGGCGGATTTTGGAGTTTTGCACAGAAACGAACTCTCCGGCGTGCTAACGGGTCTTACGAGAGTGAGAAGATTTCAACAAGACGACGCCCATATTTTTTGTACGCCCGATCAACTGTCGCGAGAAATAAGCGATTGCTTGGAATTCATCAAATACGTTTACTCCACTTTCGGTTTTACTTTCGATTTATGTCTGTCCACACGGCCTGAAAAATGTATGGGTGATATGGAGCTGTGGAACTCTGCGGAGAAGTCTTTAGAAGATAGCTTAAATTCGTTCGGGCATCCTTGGAAGTTGAATCCCGGAGACGGTGCATTTTACGGCCCTAAAATTGACATCACAATCAAAGATGCCTTGCAAAGAGACCACCAATGCGCAACAATTCAACTAGACTTTCAGTTGCCTCTTAGATTTAACTTGTCTTATTCGAGTAATAATGGAGAAAAGAAACAACCAGTAATGATCCATAGAGCGATTTTAGGATCGGTCGAACGATTCATTGCAGTATTGGCCGAATCATATGCCGGTAAATGGCCATTTTGGCTTTCACCAAGGCAAGCCATGATTGTCCCAGTCAAAGCCACCTGTGATGAATATGCAGAGGATATAAGACGGAAGTTACTAACAGCGGGGTTCATGGCAGAAGTAGATAAAGATCCGGGGAAAACCCTCGGTAAGAAAATCAAAACGGCTCAATTAGCCCAATTTAATTTCATTTTAGTGGTGGGTGAAAAAGAACAATTAAATAACGCTGTTAATGTAAGATCTAGAAGCAATACTGTGCTCGGTGAACATTCTATTGAAAGTATAATTGGTAGATTTACTAAATTAAGAGATAATTATGTTTTAAATGAAGGTGAATTTTAATTGTATTTATTTTCATAAAATAAATTCAAAAAAGATAGCGTTTGCATATATTTAACCAATAAATTTCCTGTACGCTAATGAAGGCATCAAGCTAAAGTTTATTAAATTAAATCATAAATTACAAAACTTAAAAAAAGTACTATCATAACAATGAAAATTTAAGTAATCGAACAATACGTTTTTCGGTTAAAATCATTCGGATGAATGGTTATCGACCAGCTGGTTGAATTTCTTGATTAAATCCTCCAAAGAAGATTCTCCGTGGACTACATTGTCCCTAGTACGAGTGTTGACAGTTTTATTCGATTTCTCCTTTTCCCCAACAATCAGAATGAAATTGAACTGGGAGAGTTGGGCGTTTCTGACTTTTTTGTTCATCGTATCGCCAGGATCGGTGTCCACTTCAGCCATGAAACCGGCCTCGAACAGCTGCTGCTTGACTTCTTTGGCGTAATCATCGTAAGGGGGACCAACGGGAATCACCATGACCTGTCTCGGAGACAACCAAAACGGCCATTTCCCAGCGTACGATTCCGTCAAAACGGCTATACACCTTTCTACAGATCCTAGAATGGCCCTGTGAATCATCACCGGCCTCTTCTTATCACCGCTGTCGGCTATGTAAGATAAGTTGAATCTAATGGGTAACTGAAAGTCTAATTGGATCGTTGCGCATTGGTGAGATCTCCTTAAGGCATCTTTAATTGTTATATCGATTTTCGGGCCGTAAAATGCGCCATCGCCGGGATTGAACTTCCAAGGTTGCCCGAATTTATTCAAGCTGTCTTCCAAAGCTTTTTCGGCCGAATCCCACAGGGCTGCTTCTCCGATGTACTTCTCGGGTCGGGTGGACAAGCAAAGATCGAAGGTAAATCCGAACGCAGAGTATACATATTTTACGAAATCTAAACAACCGTTTATTTCGTCCGTGATTTGTTCCATAGCACAAAAAATGTGCGCATCGTCCTGCTGGAACCTGTAACAATATATGCAAATATTAGGCGATTAAGGGAGGCTTTATTGACAGATATTCAATACCTTCTAACTCTGGTGAGTCCTGTAAGGGCGCCTGATAGTTCGTTTCGATGCAGAACACCGAAATCGGCTAATCTCAACGGAAGTTCTCTCCAAGATCTAACGCGATTATCGAACATAAGACAGTGGCCCGGGCAATTCATCGGTTTCAGTGCGAATTTTTCTTTTTCTATGTCGAACGAGAACATGTTCTCGGAATAATGAGACCAATGTCCCGAGGTTTGCCACAACTTCACGTTGTACATGTTAGGCGAAATAACTTCTTCGAATCCCCTTTTTCTGTACTCCTTTTTGATGAAGTTTACTAAAGTGTTGTAGATGTGAGCCCCTCTGGGTTGGAAGAAGCAAGAGCCTGGTGATAATTCGTGGAAGAAGAACAGTTCCTGTTCCCTTCCTATTTTTCTATGGTCCCTTTTGGCTGCTTCTTCTTGTAAATGCACCCATTCGGTTAATTTTTTCGAGTCGGGGAAACTTATTCCGTAGACTCTTTGCAGGGTTTCCGCGTCCGCCTTTCCTTCCCAGTAGGTAGAGGAGTTTTTGGTGACTTTAAGGGCTTTTATTTTGCCAGTATGGCGAATATGGGGCCCTCTACATAGGTCTATAAGAGGACCGCATCTGTAAACAGTGGTGGTTGGTGTGTTAACTTTCTCGTTCAGAATACGAACTTTAAATTCGTTGTACTTGAACATTTCAAGTAAATCTTCCTTCTTCATTTCGAGTCTTTCAAACGGCTGTTTTTCTTTTACAATAGATTTCATGAGGTTTTCTACAGCTGGGAAATCGGTTTGGGATATTCCTTTATCATCTAGGAACATATCATAGTAAAAACCGGATTCTATCGGTGGGCCGTAGCAAAGGCATCCTCCGTACAAACGTTCGAGGGATTCACCGAGCACATGAGCAGTGGAATGCCAAAATACCGCTTGAGCCTCTTCGTCGTCGAATTTAAGCAATTGAAGGGAGCAATCACTTTCTAAAGGCCTATCTAAATCCCATAGAACTCCGTTGACTTTGGCTATTACAGTATTATCAGCTAAACCTTGACTAATCCCTTTTGCTACATCATATGGTGACGTTCTCCAAGCCACGCCATCCACGATCTTCCCATCTGGCAGCGTTACTTTTATAGGCGATTCTGGTTTATTCGCAAGCTCAGCATCGTACTCGGATTTTAGTTTATCCCACACTTTCAGCCGGTCTTCGATGTACTTCGGCCAAGGTTTTAATTCCTTTAGGGCACCGGAATCGCCACCACCCGGCGCAGATTTATTTTTCTTCTTCGATTTTTCACCTTGATTTTGATTTTTGTTTTCGACCTTTTTCTCCGCCGTGTCGCTCATTTTTCTAAGTCAGTAATACTTGAAGTATGATGAAATATTACACTAATTGTGCAAAACACATCAATTCACCGAATTACATGTGGTAAATTTACTTGTCAGATGCGATGACAGGACATGACACGACTTTGACGTTTTAAGTTTCTAGTTTCTACGTTATATTAGGACTTGTCTATGGGGGTAATTAGACACTTATATTAATAAAAACTTTGTACTTGGTACATTTTACAGATGAATCAAGACATTGTTGAATCATAAGACATTGTTGAAATTCCAAATTTTTTATCCTCTATTATGACACTTTTCAAGGTCTTCGAATCCTGCAAAAACTCGAAAAAAAGGAAGAAATTAGACTTTTCAAAAAAAAAAAAGAAGAAAATTTGAGGTTGAAAGCACAAAATATTTGTTGAAATATTTTCATTTATTAATCAAATTGCTTTATTTCGTTAACTGCTTCAATTAAGAAAAAATGACCACTCTCCGACCATTTACATGCGATGATATGTACAAGTTTAACAATGTGTAAGTACACAAAACTGATACATAATCTATTTAATAACCATTCTCTATTTTAGAAATTTAGATCCTCTCACCGAAACCTACGGTCTATCCTTTTACATGCAATATCTGGCTCACTGGCCGGAATATTTCCAAGTCGCCGAATCACCAAGCGGTGAAATTATGGGCTATAGTAAGTATCTTAAAAATCACATTGATTTGAAATATTTTAAGGAGATTCGAAGACATCTTTATATTGAACCTAAACATAATAAGTAACTTATAATTTCCAGTTATGGGTAAAGCTGAGGGCATTGGAGAGAATTGGCACGGCCACGTTACAGCTCTAACAGTTTCTCCGGATTTTCGTAGACTCGGTTTAGCAGCATCACTAATGAACTTCCTGGAAGATGTTTCCGAAAAGTACATTTCAAATACCGACACCATTAATATACAGTTAATTATCTATTAATTGCAGGAAACGAGCCTATTTCGTGGATTTGTTCGTTCGAGTCAGCAACAAAGTAGCGATTAATATGTACAAAAATTTGGGCTACATAGTTTACAGAACAGTTTTGGAATATTACTCAGGTGATCCCGACGAGGATGCCTACGGTACGTATTCTATTTACCAGTATGCACATACTATTATTTCCCAATGCATTTACTATGAAAAGTTGAAACATACATCAGTGAGTATATGCTATACTTTCATTGTTTGTAGATATGAGGAAGGCATGTTCTCGAGATGTGAACCAAAAATCCGTTATACCTCTAACGCATCCGGTTAGACCCGAAGATGTAGACTGAACATATTCGCTTAAAAGTGTATTAAAGGTAAATATGTACGAGCTATTTGAAATCGTCTTTCTATTAAAGTATTTATAATGAAATATTAGATAATTTTTTGTACAAATATAAAGCAAACACCAATCAATTAACTCGTCTAAGCGTACTCTTAATTATTCAGTAATTAAATCGAATGGGAAGAGTTTCAATTCGAAACCCAAAAAATCTCGAGTTGATTCACATCGTGATTAACCGAAATTTCCAATTTCCGTACGGAGCGCATGGGAAACCGCGTATAAAAGCGCCGTAATCCCACCGAGCGTCGCGACGCCGTCGAGCGGCGCATCCCGAAATCGATTTTCATGCGCGTAAAATCGTAGGCGTGCGTCGCACGTCTCGATTCATTCCACCACGAGCGCCAAAACAACAAAGAAAATTCCCATCCACTACACTCCCCGATTCAAAAAAATCCTCGTCCTTTACTCCACTCGCTCTAGCTTACTGAACCCTTTGGCTAATTTCGCGAATTGCCCTGTTTAAATACGCCAAAATACCGGTAAGAATAGCGAGTTAAATTTGCTGCGATAAGCGAGCGTGTTCGCTGTTCCTCCTACGAGCAATCGGTTCGATTGTGGTGGAATGGCCGGTGGATTTTCGAGTTTTCTGACGGGCCGCGGGACCGTGCCGAAAATGTCGTGAGATTAGCGAGGCGAGATCACGTCGTTCGTGATACAAATTCGACTGTGAATGTGCTTATGAATGTGTTGTGATTAGATGGTAGTACTGTCGATAAGGGGAACTTTGAGGGAAACTATCGCGGCTCAGGAAACGTTCGGAGACTGGCCGATTTTGATACATGTTTTTTATCGAATATACACCTACCGGTGAGTGAATTTTTTGCATTGGATTGGTTGTTTCTTGTATGTTTTCGATTGGATTTGATCGGTATGTATGTGTAAATTTTCTATGATGAAATTATGCGGTAGGAAGGATGTAAATGATAGCTTTGACAATGATAAAACCTTTTTTATATACGCCTGTTTTGAAGCTTTATTATATTCTAAATTCTTAAATAAAGTTAAACTTCAAGAGGTAAGTAAAACTTTATTGATTGATCATTCATAAATTATCTTCTTCATTCATCTATTTTTCTACACACTATATTCATATTCGTGAATTATATTCAATTACCGACGTTTCGTTGTTGTAATACTTCTCCAGTACTGAAAAATTCGTATTATAACGTCGAATAATTCATAAAATTTATTATTTTTGCAAGAATTTTATCTTTTAGTTCGACAAATATCTGTTATTACGAATTTTATTTTCCTTGTCACTTTTTCCCGACCTCTTATCACCATCTAATATCCTCGACATTTTCCGAGCGATTCGCAATTTTTAATCGTTTTCATTCCAATTATTTGCATTTTAAAAATCGATTCATCACAAATTGCAACTTTGCGCATTTTTGCTAAATTAGTGTTTATGATTTTTTGCGCACTGTTTCAATTGGATAGAGATTATTCCGTGTAATTCTTTACGGCATTATCGGTTTTTTTATTCACATAAAATTATTGATCTGCGATATCGCCGAAAACGTAAATTACTTTTGCATTCATAATCACCACGGCAATATCTCTATTGGATCGTAAAAAAATCCGTTACGTTTACGTAATGCATCTGTACGTTCGTAATTACCTACTGCTTAAAAAATGCACTATTTTACAGCTATTTGCAACAAACAAAATTCATCAAAGTAAAAGTTATGTTAACTAGCGTATTTATTACCTGAAGGGTGAATAATTCGCAAAAATTAGTGCAATATATTCATCATAGGGAAGAAAATAATTAAAAAAAGTCACCCGAAATAACCGAGGGAACAGTTGAGTAATTTTAATTTACGAACAGTAAACATTCGTTTCTATTTTCTCTGTCGTTGTAAACGAAAAGTGACGGGCGTTCCAAACAAAAAATTTCTTCGGAAAACCGAGACTGGCGCAAATAACGTTTCACGTATTTACCTACTTCCCTTAAAAGTCGTTGCGCGCCGACAGATGTTACGTATTATTAGTTCTATTTCGGTTTTCCTCTGATGCAACTACGAATTGTTTACGGAATCGGTGCTTATTTTCGATCGAGTTCTTCTTAAAATCGGTTATTCACGACGAGAATTACGCAGGAAGTGACAGATCTATTGGATATATTTAGGAATCCGACGAATCAAAACAAGATAAATAAGCGCGAGCTGATTGAAAGTTTTGTTTCAATTTAAACTTCGCCTAATAGAAGATGAAATAGATGGAGTGTTGCTCAATTTATTTTGGTTTTTAGTTGAAGATGTTTACATTTCTACGGTTCGAATAATACTGCTTAATTATGAGTTTTTATCAAGGGCGAATTAAAGAGAGGTTTGATAAATTTAATAGCTCTAATGCCTTTCAAGTCCCTCAAATTACTATTGGGATTACTACTCTTTATCATTGAGTATTTTTAAAGGTCAAAGATTTCAAGGATATTTTGCTATTTTCAAGATTATTTGGTATTTTGCCAATTTCATCAGTTTCCTGGTTATTAAATTGGTTATTATCGGCCAGTTCAAAGAGGATTTTGGACATATTTGACTAATATTTCGAATTTTTTTTCTCTTTGAATCATTTATTTTGATGGTGCTTCGATTGGTATCTTCAACGTTTCTTTACCAATTACGCCACTGGTTGGGTTCTAAACAGAGTGCATGAAGGGTGCCCTCGCAGCTGTCACCTCTATATTTATATTATAAAATGTTCCGGCACGTGATCGAACCTTAAACCTTAATAAAAGGGCAATTATTTGAATTGTGAATTCGACAAAAAATACCCATTGTATTTTCTTCCGCGTAATTAGGACCCTTTGAAGTTTTAGACGGTCGATTTATTGTTCACAAAACATACAACCAGGATGTAATGAAAGGATTTTTATATTCGAGCGTACGAAATACGATGTTTTTACTTTCGAATTTATTTTTAGACGTTTTATTAATCGAAATGTTTTCCAAAATTTATATTTAATGCTTCAAAAACAGAGAGAAACTCGCAATTCTTATGCCTATTAACGTCTACCAAACGCCCTTTTATTTATTAACGACAAATTTCTCAAAAATAAGTGACAAACTGATCGACGCTTTCTTCCCCAATCCTCCCCGAGAGCGCTAAGATACAATATTTAATTCATGTTAAAACGGAATTATTAATTTCGTTTTGTTTCCTTCAACGTGGGCGTTTCGATTGTTCCTCTCCTTCTTGTCTACATTCGTAAGCGAAGGTGTGGTAGGGTGGAAATATTATAATATGTCACCAGAGGCGTACCACAAACAACCTAAATTCTACCCACCTACCCTTAATTTTATTAATGTTTGTAACATAGTTATGTTGATTAGTTTCTTTTTACTCCTGAGTCGTTATAGTGTTGCTAGTAATTTGTTGATAAGAATCCTTCTTTTTATTATAGATTCATTATTTATGAATCCATATCTTACTCTCCAACATTACCTCCCCCTTTCTTCCTCGCCCTTAAGGCGATTTTCCTGGTCTTTTTGAAAATCTACACCGCTATTATTTTCTTCAAAACCACATCAAGATACTTCCTGTTAGTACTAACTCTTTGATTCGATGGTTCTTGATTTTTTAAACAACGTATCAGGTTACTCGCTCGGTGAGGCCCGTCTAGTATCAGGACCCTTCTGCCCTTATGGCGATACATCGCTGCATATCGAAGGGTCGTCGACTAAATAAGGGACGTGCAGCGTCGCTGTTCCGGCGTTCGCCATTGGCACGCTCCGTCGAAGACGTGCATTTGTGCCATTACACGCGATCGAGACTTAACCATTTAAAACCAGATGGTCCTCTCGATCGCGGTGGCATCAACCGTATTATCGACGGTTTCGGTACGCACGCTGCGTATTCCGCGCGGTTTGATATTTGATTTTTTTAGTGCGAGTGAGCCCGTTCTCTCGGGCGTCGCGTCGTTTCTTCGCGTTATTGCGGGCGTCTGGGTCGGTTTTTTTGGTCGCGAAAAACACGTGGTTTGTTTGCTGGTCGAGAGATTAATGGATTAGTTGGAGTTTAGAGTAAGTTTGATACTTATTTGATTGACTTTTGGAAAGGTTACTACGAATTAATGTGTTTGTTTTAAAAATACTCGTGTTAGATAAAATTGGATAATAAAATTTGCAATGCACGATTGTTCCTCTTTGAGCTAATATTTATCTTTAAAAAAATGACTGTTTATTTACTATTTACGATTTTTCTCAACAAATTCGCTTTATCTTGTTGCATTATCGCGGTTGAAAAAATAATGAAACATCGTTATTACAGAATCCGTGATTTATTTTCCCGACAATTACTAATAGTAGTTCAACGTGTTGAGACGTTCAATTCAAATCGATTGTCTGTGTGACAATTATTGTCAGTTTTGTCTGCGTACTCCACAGATTGCATTTGTGTAATTATTTTAATGAAAAATTCATTACAAATTCGTTTCCTGCATCACTCCATTATTTACTTTAATGATTATTGTAACAATATAACAAGTAAGTTTTTTGCTGTTGTTTCCTTAGTTTATTTGTGTGAAAGCCTGTACATGCAATTTTATGCTCTTTATCTATTCCATTCATCTAAAAAATATACATATTGGAATTGTTCTTTTAGTTAAACTATTACCGGTGTCGAGTCTATAAATATAAAATTTTTATCTTCGATCAGATTACCTTTTATCTGGGTGCTGGGGAAAGCCGAAGAAACTATTCGTGCTGCGACCCCAGATATTTGCCCCCTTACACCGGGAATACTGATTATCAGAATCGCCACCCTAACGTTATCCTACTTATCCTCTCTTTTCTACTGCTGCACAGACGAAATCGATAAGTTCATTTCACCGAAAAGTAAACCTCAGACTTTATATTTCGTGCGTTTATACAGAGAGTGTGACTTGTCCCGTAACGAGTAAATATTTAATTTAACATAATAAACGACTTATGCAGATATGATTTTTTAAAGAATAACAAAAATTGTTTAATATTACATTGAGCTTATGTAATTAGTCACATAATGTGAGTGTTTTAAAACACAACTTCATTATCTAAAATTAATCATATTTTTAATGTTTAAATACACGGTGAGCGAAATAACTTAATTACAAAATTACAAATTAGGTATCTGTATGGTGGGACTCATGAGTTTTATATTAACTCTTTTCGAATGTATTACGTTCGACAGGACATACAATTAATTTTACGGTTTTGGTATGTAATTATTCAAAATCAAGCACGGCATATTTATTCTTATAGTTTCAAATTCGTATAATACTGTTTTTTTACTATGTATTTATTAGCATATTTAAGTAATCAATGGCCTGAAAATGTGAATACGTGCCTTTCAATTTCGATTTCGAATACAATACCGCCTCTGTTTCAATAACCATTATCTTAATTACTTACTACTTTTTTTATGTACTCGACTTTTTCTCACGCCCACCATTTCCACTAGCATTGAGTATTAGATTAAATTTGAACCAAAGATAATACAGGGTGGCCTACAACAACGGAATGAGGAAATATTTCGACTATATCTTAAATTATTTTTATTTATTTTAATATTGCAGAATCAATTAAAAATTGTATTTTTAAATATGACAAATTTTAAAATTCCTGATGATTCACTACAATTAATTTTAATTTTTTGCCGGCATTTCACTGTAGGTATAAATAAAATAAAATTTTAAATAATAATGCAACGAAATTTCCTGAAAAATTGTAAATTGTCGTAAGTATCGCGACAATAACAATCCAAGGTTAATGTTAATTGGTGTATTTTAAATAGGTAAAATAAGTCGAAAAGGAACGTTCAGTTTCTTTTAATTCTCCATTGGCTAGTTTAAAATACATGTATTTAATTAAGTGCTTTCGTTTGTCCAAATATAAGTGAAATTACCGAAAAATACTGGTAAATTATGCTAATTAACTATGATAATAGCTACCTACGCAGGTTGTAATTTTTACACATTCAATGCACTAATTGAAGCAAACATGGTTTTAATGTACATAGAATATTAATATTTTAATTATTATAATCGCATTAAATTTAAATTTTTGCTTTCTATGATATGATATACCTAATAAACTTCACCTTAGCAAATTCTGATGATATATTAGGTATAGATTTACTATAATATTAATTTTGAATATTTACTGACACCTATATTATTATTATGAATACATGTCAATGCTAGTCAACATACCACAGCATGTGCAAAATGCTCAATTAAAACCAATGATTTATTATTTTTTTCCGTCTAACAACGATCAGATAGCCATCGATTATTTGTTCTATTATAATTTGTAAATTATATTTTATAATGCACCGAACCCACGATTAGCCGAAAATTATTCCCGAACGCCGGGCCAGCGTTTCACAATTTAGAGGTGAAGGTATTTTTTATAAATATTAATACGCCAAGAATTCGACAACGCCTCAATCAAAATCGAGCGTTGTAACCTCACACAAAAAACGTTTCCATATCATCAATCAAATTCGAAAAAATTTATTTCCGTCATCGCCCAACCAAAGAATAGCCGATGCCAATTTTTTGATCCTACGATTTTAAATCATAAAATGCATGTTAACTCGGCTTTATTAACAAAAATTGTTTTGTTTCAGATTCCTAGAAACAACGAATATTAGGTAAGTGGTTGTGACAAATTGTATTATTTAAATTTTCCACCCTATAATTCTATCTGTAACTGATATTTTTTGTATATTTTTTTGCTATTTTCCCCTCTAATGGGTTCGAATTCGATACTTTTAAATGGACCGTTCGCGTGGCGTTGATAATTCGCGTAACAGTACCCTCTGATAGTTTTCCTTGCATTCTTGGAGATTCGCGCGGATAATGAGAATTTAATCCGCGAGGGTTTTACAGTCTGAATATTTTCGTATGCAAGAACGACGGTACCTATTCAAATTGTACCGCTCTTCACGAGCGAATAGATGTAAGCAGTACTTTAAAAATAACAAAAATGTAGTCACTTCTGGATTGATACATTTACAACAAAACGGTTGCATGTTAATTTTAATCTCTTGCATAGTTAATGCTTTGATAATGCAAGAGATAATTATTGGAAATTCGATGATAAAATGCCACACATTGGTTTAAATATCGCGTTATTTTCCTTTAGTTACCACACTGTTTATCTAACTCCTGTGTTGCTCTAAATGTCAGATTAGTTTAAAAATTGTTAAAGGAATCTTTAATCTGCCGCTGCAGCGTTTCCTTGAGGAGCACGTTTTTCGTTTTCGGCTTCATTAACCAAGCAAATTGCTTATTTACTTGTTTACTTTATTAAATCTGATAAAATCCTTTGACGAGGTGCAGGTCACTAACCGTGATACTTCAGTGGATTTCAAGAATTGCGCATCAGATTTTTTATGTACTTCGATTCAATGAGCATATTGTCACGGTTATTATTCACCAGATTAATAATCTACAATACGAGCCGTAGACGAGTGTTGCTACACCCAACAATTCGAGCTGCAATTCATTTAATAACGCCTATAAGGATTTTAAAACAGTGGCTAACGTTTGATTGATTGCTATAAGTAATTAAGTGCCAGCAAAATTGATTGATAAATATTTTTGTTTAATATAAATAATATCTACACTCGGCGATTCATAAATTTTTCAATTATCCGCTTCGCTGATCGAACATGTATAAAAATAAAATTACGCCTAAACTTTCACTAAATACCTACAAACGCGCAAGAACCCCGCCGGGGTTCCCCTAATATTGCAGTAAAACGAATCTTGGAACAACGAAAATTATAGCTTCAGGGAAACCGGCGCATTTAACGTTTCAAGTAGTGTATGCAATTGGGTATTCCGAATGCGGTACACCCAGCGAGGTGCGGGTTTTCGTGTATAATTCACGATAAAATTTTAAATTGAATTGACACGAAGAGGCCTGTTGTCTTGATTTAATAAATTTTCGATCATCAATCACTCTCCACTACTTGCATGAATTAATCTCACTGATCAATTATGGAATTAATTAATGTAATTCGAAAATAATCGAATGAAATTGTTTTGCGTTGCGCTTTGCTCGATAGAATTTTCACTCGCATTTGCCGGGGAATTCGGAATTCGTTTAGTTTTTGATAAATTACGGCTATTTCTAAAATTTCTCGCGCGCGTTCGAGGACTTTCTCCGATTAATTCGGAAAAGAATTAGGAATTAACGAAACGAAGAACAATGTGCTCGGCGGATTTGCGCGACACCAACATGTTATTACGGATTAAAACGCCCGTTAAATTGCCCAACGATCTCGTAAATATTTATTAATTTTCTACCGTTTTTTTCGCGTCGCTTATCCGCTCGAAAATCATTCGATTTCGGTAAACTTATCGGAGAGATTGCGATTGCTTGGGAACGGTTTTGAAATTCCGCGCGAATTGCGACAAACGACTACCATAAAGCGAGTTTTATAACGTTATCGGATCGTACGATTTATTCTGCTCGTGTGCACTGAAATAAAAACATTAAAAAAAAGTAGAAGAATAACAACAAGCGTTTACGTGCCGAAATAAAGGACTTAACCAATTCACACGACAATGTTGCATTTTACGTTTTATCGTTAATTTATCTATTTTATTGCGCGTCGTCCTCTTTGGAAGTAAATGGCTTAATTAGATTTGTAGTTGTGTGTGAAGACCTCCTTAATTAGCTGTTGGTTAAATTCAAGTAACGCAACAATAAAAGTCTGTTTTATTCGCTAGTTTATTCGCAAAATTATTCAATTCTTTTTTGTCTGGTAAAACCGATAACTAGGAATTGGATATAAAGGGTTCAGGATCCTCTAATTATCGTGAATCCTAATTATCCTGATGAATTCTAATTATTCTGAATCCCAACTAATCTTAATCCTAACTATCCTAACTATCTTGTCTTCTAACTATTATGATTCCTGATTTTCCTGAATTCTAATAATCTAGAACTGCAACTAAAATGAATCCTAAATATCTTGATTCCTAACTATCTTGAGACCTACCTATCCCAATTCCTAACTATTCTGAATATTAACTATCACGAAGCCTAATAGGTATCCTGAATCTTAACTATCAAAAATCCTAACTCTCCTGGTTTTATTCAAAGTACATGAATTTCTAAAGCACGACTACTAAAAGCGTTAATTTATTTTGGAGATTTGTTTTGGATTTTCTGGAAGACCTAGCCAAGTTTTTCACTTACATAAATAGGAAATAACTCAAAGCTTAACTGACTCACGAATATAATTTTCAACCCATTCTACTCTACGTACGTTATTCAACGTACAGGAAACAGTAGATATTTATCAGCATTATCAATGAATCGGTAGATGCCTGTTTAAGATAGCAATGGTTCTTTTGCACACTCCAGTTTCTTCCGAATCAAAACAAACAACTCGATTCTAGAATCGAACAGCACACATGCGACTGGAAGTCGACCGTATCCGATGGGATCTCAAATTTCACCGATACCTATCTGCGAAAACGAACATGACATGTTATGCGCCATTTGTGACTCACGCCGCTAATCCGGCCGAGCGATCGTTTCGGACATTCGATATATCGGAAAGAAAGTCCGTTCTGCCCGTCATGATCAATCGTCAATCACGATTACGGCGCGCGGAAATTAATTTTCGAAACGTCAAAACATCCCGACGGGTTTAATTTTTAACAATGGCGCTCTAAACGATTTCGATTTCAATGGAGGTTTAATTGTCGGTCGAGGTCGAGCGACATTCGAAGGAGAAATTTTTAGACGGGCCGAAGATTTTAATTGATAACGCGCTTTATTTTGTCCCGTATCGGGCTATTTATAAACAATTTACTCGAAGGATGAGACTATTGTGTGTGTTACGAGTTACGACATTGAACAGCAAACGAATCTAATGGAGTACAACTACATATTTATGCTAATCGAATTGATTTCTTTTTTTGATTTATTTTTTTTTGAAACGACTTGCCTACGCATACGCGATGCACTGGCAGTTAGCCTAGATCATGTGCCAGGCTTTTCTAGGCCGTACGCCCGTCACGTCCACGCAATGCGATTGTAAACACTCAACGAATATGCAGGTTTGTTATCCATTTCAAAAACAAAATCGGGCGTTTTTCGGGTCGTCACTTCCTGCAAGAATTGGTACATTGGGAGATTTGTGCAAAGGCTGTACATTGTAGTCCTGCAAAGATTAGGCATTAAGGAGCAGTAGTTCAAGGATTCAACTGTCCCAGGATTTTTTAATACATTTCATTAATTCCCAAAAACAATTCCAAACAAGTTTCCTAAAGAATTTCCACAAACAATACTCCATAAACAAAACAAGTATTTTTCTTATTTGTTCGCGAATTTCCTATATTTTTTATTGTTTTCAACATTAATAAAAACCTGTATATTTGTTATTCCGTTTTTTTAAGTTGTTTGTTTTTTAAATTTCGGAAATTTCGTGAAGCCACTTTTGATTTTAAAAAAGTCTCTTACGTAACTCGTAACAGGTCACTTGAAGGCTAGTTTCTTATGCTAACAACAACCAGATGAACAGGATGTCGCTAAAAATCCGTCAGGGAAGGCACTTATTTACGTGAAATTTATGCAATTTTGATTACCGTAAGCTTTTAATTTTAATTTAATGCCGACCGAATTGTCACATTTATGTATAAGATTCTCAAGGTAGGTGATAAATATTCCCGTACCTAATTACGCCGAGGATTTAATTCGACTGTCCAATAACTAACAGCACCGCGTTTGCGTCTAATTTGAGCAGTGGAAAAGTGTGTTTTTATTTCTAATCAATCAAATTATTACGGCCGAATAAACTCGAATTTAATTGGCGTTTCTTAATCGAAAAATGCTACCTTGACACGTCCCAAAAACCGCGTTTATTTTGTAAATTGCATTGTAAACGTACCCACGGTTAATCTAATCACCTCAAAAGTACATAAATAACCGAAAAAATAAATTAAAATTAATGAAATCAAGGGAAACTATACATGTGAAGTGCATTAAATATATGAAAATTGTATTTTTATTATATTTGAACTATAAATGCTTCTGGAACCACCGTGTATATTGGGTTATAAAAATGATGTTATTGAATATGAAACTCCCTGTGTGTATTAAAATGCTAAGTTCCAACCTTGTTTGCGAAACAATGTATAAGATACACATTACTTACGCACTATAAAACCATCCTATAAATCGCTGAGAATAAAAGAATGTACGGGTGACAGAGCGGAGATTTCAAGGATGCGATACATTCATTTCTCGGTTTAAAAAAAACCTGGGTTTACTTACGGAAATGCCTTGCCTATTTGACAGATAACGCAAACAGATTTTTCCAGAAAAATTCGCGTGAATACGCGAAAGAAATCGCAATTATCGCAAATGTTGTTAATTTTTTCTGTTGAATTTTTATCTTGCGAATTTTATTTGTTTTCGCCTTATCGCCGACGAAGGATAAAGCTAATTGTGTGCGTTTTGAGTTAGTTTGGTCGCGAAATTGAAGAGAGGAATGTGCGTGCTGGTTTGATCAAACGATGTTCGATTGGGATATGAATTGCTTCAAAAACGTAAGTCTCCCATATCGTATTGACGTGAGAAACGTTGTAAATTATAAGTTTTTAGGTTGTAAATTGTAAATGTATGTTAATCCTTTATGCAAATTTGTTAATTTGTTTTTAATAATCCGACTAGTTTTTCAGTATTTGTCAAGTTAAATAGATTTAATTTTAGAATCCTTTTAAATGTATATTTTTATACTCATCTTTGCTTAAATCTCACTGTTTCCCAATGGTATGGTAATTATTGTTAAACCGTGCAATCTTTAATATGTAATTTTTATTATATTTCATTTGCGTTTCGGCGTAGAAAGTAAATAGTTCGACTCTCCTCATTTAATACCTCGCGAATTATTTTCGTTTTGATTACCGTCCGTGATGAAAGTCGTAAAAGGCGGATCGTTTTCTCAAAAATTGGCGTTTATGCAGTTTTTTTCTACCGTGTGGTGCAATTAAATTCCGGTCGTTCACGACGGAAAAAACCCGCAAACAGGCGACTCCTCATCCTCATCCTGTCGATACGACAAACCAATTTATATAAGCGCTCGCCAGACGTTCTCGATGGTTGATTTCGTCGATTTTCGCGCACGGTTGAATGCAAATTATAAAAGAAAAATCTAATTAGAAAAACAAAAACGTCTTGCATAAACCACTAGTATTGACATTGATGTCAGTAACCCGCGCGACATTGCTAAGTAGAACGTATTTATCCAAACTGTGTTAATAGTTCTTTTGGTCCTATTGTATTTCGTTTGAAACGCTTTACAATGCGATCAATGCACTTTTTGCGATACACCTTGTAGATATTAAATTATTCGTTGGTAAAAACCCATGCGTTTGGGTTTCTTTGCAAGCTCTAAAATTAGAGCACTTTCAGACTTCTAGGGGTCAGTAGAAAAGTTGAAATGTTTATAATATGAAATAAATTTAAACTTGTAATTTAAAATTATTCGAAAGTGGAGTTAGGTACAAATCAACATATTGTAGCTCAACAAATGAGAATTGCAAATTCGTATTCGAAATTTTTTTCTATTCACGTTTTTTTTTTGTACAAAAAAATCGCATATTCGAAAATTGTCGAGGAACGTTTGGAATAGATTAGAAATCAATGACTTCAACAAGATGAATTGCATTCGAAATATTCGTTAATTCATGATTTAGAAATTGGTAAACAATTTGATAATGACAAATCGTTACTCGACAAAAAATTCCCCAATCTAAAATTCTCTACATCATCCGTATCTCTCGAATAGCTACTCAAATTCAAGACACCCAGCGAATCATCAACATCCACTCCAATCCATCGTCTCCCCTAATCACCCATTACATTAATCACCAGAAATCTCCATTATTAACCCCATCCCCAGCATTTCGATCATATTCGCTGACCTTTGTTTACAACAACAATCGAAAATCGAAAGTGAATTTCATCCTCCTACGACACGGTGCGCCTTCCACTTCGATTCAATTCCACCATCTGTCTTTGCCTCGATAAAACAGCTCGTAAGTACCTACACCTGTCGATGGTAGCTCATGGGGAACTGCAAATGTAGTCGAGGCGCTTAGAACCTCAATCGAACTTATCATGATGATTTTGTATTAATAACAAAAAAATGTTTCCTATGGGATGTACCGATTTTTTTAGGGAGCTACAGGTTTCCTAAGTGAGCTAGAGGTTTTTTAAGTGGACTAGAGATTTTCTAACGAAGCAGCAGGTCATTTGAAGCCAGAATTAGTATTAATTAAGTAGCGATTGTGGGTTCGAAGCGACCGCACTAAAGCGCATTAGAACCGGAGAAGGTGATGGAGAAAGAATGGCGAAGAAGTGGTGGCTCGTGCGTTTTTGTTGTGCCTCCTCTATTGCGGTACTCACCTGTTTCCGTGCCGACAGAAACGAACCGATCGAGGTACGATCGACCTGCTTCCAACCAAAAGGCTGCTGATGGTTTCGGATGGGACGCGGAGCGCGCGAACTGCACGGTTAAACGGAAAATGAGCGCCGCGATTTTCGACGGTTCGTTTTGAATTCGCGCGATTTTCGTGGTTTTTTTTTTGGACGGTAGGGAATTCGAGTGATTGGATTTGCGATTTTCGGTTGGGTTTTGTTGGTAGTTGTGACGATGTGTAGCAAAGTACAAATTACAGAATTGGTGGATAAGCTCCATTCGGTATGTACTATTTTAATGATACTCTTACTTAATTCTGTTTATTAATTGTTCTATTGCACATAAGACAGCGTGAAAAAATTGTTAAAAACTTCTATATTTTGTATAATAATTTAACGGTACTAAAATGAAATTAGACATAATTGCAATCCATTTAGGAGCGAGTTTCTGTGCGTGGTCTTTGACCTTACATTTTATTAACATTATAATGGCAATATTAAAACTGGATGCATAAGCGTTTACTTTCCTTGAACTCTTCATAAAAGCGTCTACTGTTCCTCGGCGATACAAAAACTTTGCATATTTCCCTCATTTATCCTTCTCCTACAATCTTTTTCATCTACATAAAAGAAAATCGGCTGGAATTTCCATTATGCATGCCACAACCCTCTGCATAATATCAATTCTCCCTACCTTTATATGGGAACAAGCAGATACCCACTTATGATAAATTCCTTATACCGTGTTGGAAAAATTTTCGCGCATAATAGGGAAATCAATGTTAAATTCTTAGCCGGCTGAAATCCAGTCTACCAGTGTACATTTCAATAGAACGTCGCGATCAATTCTACTAAATTTAATTGTTCTACTGGACTTCACACCGCGCTTTGGCTTGGTTAGATTAAAAATCAAATAATTTCGACGGTTTCGACACTTCGACAGTATCAAAACGGGTTCGGACGGGTGAACGTCGAGTCGATTAAAAAGAAATGAGAATTTTTAAACGATAATTTATTGAAAAAATATCACTAATATTAAAATAGAGTTATGTAGATATGTCTTTTTGCCACAATGGCTTGAAAAAGAAAGTAAATTCTAAGAAAATAATAAAAAGAATACTCCAAAAATAAACTTAAAGATTATTTTAAAATAGAAAATAAAAGAACTCTAAAAAATAGTCCACCGCTTTCTGCTAAACAATAGCCAAACCTGTCATACAGATGTCATCTCATATTACTGAGCTGAGGTGTAATTTTAAGAAAATTGAATTATTTTTTCCTTATTTTTCCTTATTTTAACAAGATTTGTTGCTATTTCAAAACTGTACCTACCGATACACACATTTTTTTGAAATATCCCCAAAAAACCTATTAATTGTAGTTTCTAAATAATTTTGTACCTCATACCTAACACAAATAACTTTGTACCTCTACAAATCGCGGCGTGCGATCCAGTAGAACAATTAAATTTATTAGAATTCATCGCGACGTTCTATTGAAATGTATACTGGTAGACTGGATTTAGCCGGCTAAGAATTTAACATTGATTTCCCTATTATGCGAAATTTAATTTCCAACAGTGTATGATACCTACCGAATTAATATATTCCGAGCTTTTGGATTGAAACTTATTGATGATCGACCTTAAATTCCTAAAGCAAAGAGCCGAGCACCACTCGGTGATAAACAGACGTTCATTTGCATCTGCTTGCGGAAGAATTTTATTCATATTCGTTTTAACTAGTAAATTGCTCCTTAACAAGATCCTTTGTACGTACAAAGCTCTATCTAACGCTTGACGTACGAGTCCAATCGTTTGAAAATCCAAAGTATATTTCCCTAATAATTATCAATGGGGCATTACGAACAAGAAACGTAAACTGGTCGAGATAAAGATCGTTATTTTATAATTACGATGCTACTTAATTTCGAGCCATAAAATTTTATGTTCCATTTTAACTCCAGATTACGTTCCAGGTAAGAGGAGATAAAAACAAAAAAATATATATAGGCGGTTTTGTTTATTGAGAAACTATTGCACCTACTTATTTTTTTGCATCTAACTACGTACTTGATTAGATATTAAATTTGAATACAAGTTAATTAGCGATTTAAAGAGTTTACATTGATAAATTAATAACACAGTTCTTTCATGAAATAATTTGTGGCCTAAGGGTTAATAATTTTGGTACACCTCTTGTATGTATAGTAAGGAATGATTTGCATGATTTATTTCTTTGCCAATATCAGATTATCTTAATTTTATTATATTTCTGTGCACGAAATGGTTGTTAAAAATGTTATATTATTACTCGGGGGGATATTAAAGAATATTTGGTATACGTGCGCACAATAAAGGTATCATTATTATCCTATTTCGTATAGGAAGAAAGTATAAAATCAACATGGTCATCGTAAATTGTGATATATGGTTAATTATTTATTAGGCAGGCATAAAAACAAAATATAAACTTTCAATATTAATTCGCTATGCTAATTATCCTTTGGAAGCTTTCTCCTTCGTTGGTAAGATAGTGTTTATCTAACGTTAAACTAACCAAGGTCAATAAGATTTTTTTATTGAATTATAATCTTTCTGTATCAAGGACAAGCCTCACGAGAAATTCCATCACGTTCCTGCAGAAGCGATTTTATTCTTCTGCAAATAATGCCATCTGCCTATAGAGATTTTTGTTAGAACTCGATGGTTGATTTTCTAATTTAATAGCCGTTAATCATGTTTAACTGTTTCCAAATTAACGGAGAGTCTATTTAAATATTATTCTTTTTATTCAGTACAGTCGAGTTGACTTATTACAGTAGGTTAATTCCGGTGAATATTATAGATTATTGACATACAAAAAAATTATTTATAACCAAAAATTCGATCACAAATGCTGCGTACTGAATGAAATTATGAACTTTATTACTTTTTTTAACGTATCTACCCAAATCTTTTAATCGAATTTTTTTCTAGCCATGTAGCATTCGTTTTGTACACGCTCTCATTATTCAATGCCCAGATAAGTACGCGACCATAATTTATTAAAAAATATTACGTGAACGATTTCGTGTAAAAATGTGTACCTAACGTATTATATTTATGAAAAAATTAACGTGCAACATAAAAGTCTTCATTTGAGTTTTGTAACCTTCTGTCATGCACGGCGAATACGAAAAGGAAAGTAACGCAATTGCAATCTAAAAGTACAACTATTTTATTTTAGTTGATCAATTTGCGGTTTGCTCGACGGGGAGAGACTATTTTTATTCACTCGTTAACCCCAAAACAATTAATTCGACATGTTGCAATGCTGTGTTATAAACTATAAAATTAATTTTCAAAATTCTAAACGTGAATAAAACTCTTTCGTAATGACCGTTAAATCAAACGTCCGAGTATCCTATAAATTAAATAAATTCGTTGTGTAGGTTAAACGCAAATTAATTATCTAATTCTTTCTTCACAGCTTAATTAACAAATTATTTTCACGTTAAGCGCGTCGGATCTGTCAGTTTGAAGCGGCCGATTAAACTTTAAAAACTGTGTTAGCAAGTATGTGGACTTGTTTTCTTAATAAGCTGTTAATACAGTTTAAAGTTAGAATTTTAAAGCGTTAATAAATCTTTCTGGTACAAATTTTATCCTCAATCCTACTCGTTTTTTTTCAGGTATTGCATTTATAATTAATAGCTTTTATAATAAATATCTAAAGTTATCTTTTCGAAGTAAAATGTGTCAAAAGTTTAAAGAATTTAATAGGTTTAATGCAAGAAAGTAATTAAATGAGCATTTGATCGAAGGAAGTTAAAGGTGAGATTACTATTAGATAGTAAAAAAATAATGAGGATAAATAGGCTCTGTTTAAATAATTTATCTTAACTTAAGCCATCAGTTTGAGTGCAATCGTACATAACGTTTTATTTTAGTTTCGCGAGAATAGAAATTCTTATAATCGTTTTGTTAAAGTTTATCTACTTCCAGTAATTGATACTTCGCCTCGTTAAACTGCTGGCTATTGTGTATAAGTTTACACTAACAATAGTTAGTTTTAACGTTATTTAAAATGCCTTTAAACATAATCAATTAATTCTACAAACCTTTTTCCATCGTTTCTCTTTGAAAGATGTTGGAAGAAACTGGGCGAGGAAATAATTCAACTCTTCAACTCTTCAAGGATTTCTTAAACTATTTATCTAATCAATATTATATTTCGCGGAGGTGGTTTCATTTGAAGTATAAGCGGAAATAGTGAATTAAAAAAACCGTTTATATCTCGGTTAATCATTAATTATTTATTGTCCGTGATCTACGAATTTGAGCAATCTATAACAAAATACAAATTGCAATTCGAATATCAGTCGGTTCACGGCCGTTTCGGGCAAATGTAATTCATTTCAAGTCGTGAATTGACACATAATAGATTTTTTAGTACTTAATAGTTTTACGAAATGTCAAGGCACTTGTACCCGAGTAATAGATAAATGTACCCGAGTAATTTTGATTTACCACGATGTTATACTGCATAACATTATTGCTAAGAAGGGTAAAGTTTGTTGCAGAACCTGTTGAAAAGAAATACTTTAATTAATTCCATTTTCCCTAATTCTCTGTTTGTCGAGGAAATTTCAAATAGCAAACAGCATATGCAATAAACATCTAAATGCCATCTTTATCTTACGTAAACTTAAAGAGCATGATTTTAAGGCAGAACGAACACGACGTCCATTAAGGCTAAAGCCGTTTTTTTATTTAGTTTCTGTTGCATTACGCAATTTGAATTTATAATTGATGTAAGTAATCGGAAGAATATTCGATTTCCTACTAGGTAGTCGTTTAGCAGATGCTAATGAAATGTTAGATTTTAGCAGATGCGACTATCATTTCATCTTAATAATTCATTTTTAATGATTACTATTACAACAGATGGCTAAGAAAACTTATAAGAAACGGGTACGGGTTATTGATTTCGTTTTACTCAATACTATTACAGATTAGTATTGATTTAATGTAATCATACTGGCGTTCCATCGTTGTAAAAGAAAGTTCATTTAATACTTTCATAATCTCGAAGAAAGTCCCGCAATATAACTTCCATAATTCACTGCAATCCTTATCACTTATCACATTCCCTCTATCTTTTATACCATACACACCTTGATGCTCCTATTATTCCTTCTGTAAACAAGTCGAATACAAACGATTTGCAAAGTGAAACTCTCGGAGGCGATGAGTGATTTTTCTTGTCACTCGCCGAAGAGATAGAGGAAAAAAGGAAAACT